CCAACCTCAGTTAGTCGTAGAAAAGCCTTGGTGTGATTTTTATGCACAACCTGATCAGGAATGACGTAGATAGCCCTGACTTGTTGAGTCGCAAAAACTTCACGATTCTAGTTAGATCCACTAGAAACTTTATTTCTTTGTTCCTTCCACTTTGTATATCGAATTATTCCTTGCATAAACCGATTAGGGTCTTCTGCTCGGAATTTATGTAACTCCCTCTACCATATAATATCCAACAGTGATTCCATTCCTCTTCTTAAATCCTTAAATAGACGTTTGTCGATTTTCACTTTTTGGGCGTTCGGTACTACGTATATGAACACCCCTTCTTAAAATAATGTGTAAAATAGGATTGAATATCATTTTGCATAGGTATTTTTATTTACAGTGATATGATTTTACTTAAATTTAAACAATCAATGAATCTATGGTTTCTTATAAAAAAAACCGGTTTCTAGTTTTATTGCCAACTTCATTGTTATACTGTTATACTATGTATACCTGTAGTCCGCATGCGCGAATACTCGCTCAGGGGTGCACAAGGCCGAGCCGCCGAGTCCTGATAAAAGCTTGCTCACAAGTAGTGAAGTCTTTTGGGGTTGAAAAATCTCTACATAAAGCTAAAAATTTTTGTTCAATACAAATCAAATGAGAGCGAATTTTCAACACAATACCGTAAAATCAAAATTAAGTAAAACAAAACGATATTTTGGCAGTTTAGTTATCAGTGCACAATCGCAATCTTAATAATTCCGAAATTAAAACAGCACCTTGAATATGCTAAGCAATATAATATGTTCAATGATACTTTTATCTGAATGTTGTGTGATAAATAAATCTTACGTATACATATATGATATGGATATATATGTGCTTAAATAAATGTGTACGAATTCATAAGCACATATGTATAGTAGTCCCATTTCACATTCACATTTACATGTTAGTTAGATATAGCTAATGCAACTATGTATGTACGTTCCCCACAAATACATAAATAGAGTACATACATATGTAAATTTGAATGTGATTGTTAGTATTTTAAGGTCGCGCTGGTTGAAAATGTTTTTCATATTTAAGCTGAATATTGCGTTTATTTTGTAGGCATGCTAACCATCACCATCCAGCCTGCAACTTCAAGACACTTGTATTAACCGATATGACGGCGCCATTTGTAAAATCAACGTGTTTGGACTCTTCCTTCAACAAAATCAAGGCTTTAATTTTTTTGATTTTGAATTTTAATATATGTTTTCAGCATATTAGTGCAACTTCATTTTTAAACATAAATGGTAAGCTTTTTAGGCTATTAAGAGATCACAATTAGACCTATTAAGTTTTGATCTACGTTTTGATTTATTTGTATACATTATTTCAGACTTAGCAAGCTCGGATCGACCCTTCTTCGATGACATAAGCCCAAGAAATGTCTCAGCTGTCGTTGATGAAACTGCAATTTTGAGATGTCGTGTAAAAAACAAAGGAAATCGCACTGTAAGAAATTACACACAAATACAAATTATTACTGATCTATATTTTTTTGGTTATATTCATCCGCAAAGTGCTTAATACTCGTTCAAATCATATTTAAAACAAAACGACTGCACAATAATAGGTACTAATAGCTCCTATTTACACTATTGTACACCTTGAGCATCGGGTATAATGAGTAAACATATCCACACCAGTACAAGGGCCTAAAAATGCACTGCTAAACTCTTTGAAAATATTAAAAACTATAAATTTAACTATAAATTATAATTCTAACTTTTAATAAATTATTTAAAACTTATTGCAGGTTTCATGGATGCGAAAGCGGGATCTTCATATTTTAACAACAAACATATATACATATACTGGCGATCAACGATTTTCCGTAATACACCCACCCAGCAGTGAGGACTGGGACTTAAAAATTGACTACGCCCAATCACGGGATAGCGGCATTTACGAGTGTCAAGTTAATACTGAGCCAAAAATAAACTTAGCAATCATTCTGGATATTGCAGGTACAGTTTTCCATAAATCACCGAGTATACCTCTTAATGTTTTTATGGTGACGGGGGGCGTTGTCGTTAAGCAATGCCCTCAGAATCTAAGATTAGATTTATATCGGCTCGCTCTGTGATAAATTCCTTTAAAAACTCATTCGGATTTCCGCAATCCATCCCCTTTTTTTTTAGCTGAGAGCGAAGCTAGAGATTTAAATTCGGATAGACGGTATTATGATTCAAAAGGTAAGAGGTCAGCGGTCTGGTGAACATGTATTTATAAAATAAAATTTTCTATAACAGCGGCTCGTGCAAAAATATTAGGATCGACGGAAATTCACGTTAAACGCGATAGCACTATCGCCCTAGCCTGCTCAGTAAATATGCATGCATCATCTGTTTTATGGTAAGGGTGTTTGGACTGCCTGCTATTTATTAACTTCTTTTCCCTCCACCTTAAGGTATCATGGTTCTTCAATCGTCGATTTTGATTCACTGCGAGGCGGAATAAGCTTGGAAACGGAAAAAACTGATATTGGAACTACTAGTCGATTAATGCTGACAAGAGCTTCATTACGAGACTCCGGAAACTATACTTGCGTTCCTAATGGTGCTATACCAGCATCGGTGCGGGTTCATGTATTGACTGGTAGGCTGTTATTATAATGATATTAATCAACGAGCTTCAACTAAAATTTAACTTTTAAATACTTTTACAGGCGAACAGCCGGCTGCAATGCAGACAAGCGCGGCCCTCGGGATGAATGCTCACACCGCCATGATAAACATCATATCAATAAAGTTTTTGTTAAATATTTCAACTCTAACAGAATATATGTACCGAAGAGAGAGATGACTAACTAAGCAACTATTCATACTCTAAAAATGTAACTTTAAGGTAAACTAACATTTTCATTCGTAAACATTTCTCATCGTAAACATACAAAATTTTGTTCAGATATAATAACATTATTATTATTATAATTAGTTTTTTAATTAAATAATTGTGAGAGGCCATTCATTATACCCGTACTCGAAGAGTTAAGGGGTATATCAGATTTGTGGTAAAAGTGGATGTGTGTAACGCAGAGAAAGAAACGTTTTCAACCCATAAAGTATATATATTCTTGATCAGCATCAATAGCCGAGTCGATATAGCTATGTCTGTCTGTCCGTCTGTCCGTCCGTCTGTCCGTCTGTTTTGTTTGTCGCCTAGTTCTCAGAGACTATAAGAGCTAGAGCATACAAGTGTATTTCAAAATTTCGACTCGCCCCCACTAAGGACAAAAATCTGTGGCAGCCACAATTTTAAAGAAACGATAAAACCAAAAACGCAGTATCCTAGAGGATGACTATATCAAAATAAAGTGATTCATTTTCGGTCGCTTCCCTTGCCTTACCCTTACCTGTGCAATGCGCGACATTTATGGAGAAGATGTAGAAATTGCATTGTGTCTGTAGAATCTACATTTTAGATGTATAATATACATTGTAGATGTAGATAACAGACGTTGCAAAAATTTAAAATACAGAAGCGACTCACACGTTCCTTCTCGTTTTTATTTTTAAACCATACATTTTCCGGATATTAAACCCCCAGTTATATATGAGCAAGGATTACCATATAATTATTTATTGTTTCATCTGGTATAACGGAAACTAAATATGTATGCTTTGATCTATCATAGATATTGATTTTGCGTTAACGTGAACTCTTTTGTTACTCTTAGAGAGGAGATTTCAAAATTGGTCAGTGGTTTGTTGCACATAGAAGGAATAATTTTGGGCCCAATCAAGTGTATACGATTATGTACATGTATGCATATATATTTTCGATCAGGTTGAAACACCGAATCGATCTTATTCTGTATTACTTTATTATACATTTTATGGCACTAAGATTTGGACACAATCGGAGTACTATATCATAGTGAAGTAATACACAATGCGAGAAGTGTAGATGGTCGATCAGGGTCAGGCGTGTAGCGTCGAATAGGGGAATGCTCGCAGACAAAATGTGTGAAAAAAGATTGAAAGAGGACGTTGTCGAACCTCGAGGGTATATAAACTTCGGCACGCCGATGTAAGCATTCTTCATTAATATTAATGAAATGAAGTATTAATTGTTATTGTATTTCGTTAATAAGAGCTTTTTTATTCTAGATTACAAGCCAATTCCAATGGAACGATTGTAAAAGAAAGTGTTTATAAAATTATTCAATAAAGAAATACAAAATACAAAATAATTCCTATAGTCATATGTAATTAAACTATTAATAAATACTTGCATAAATGCATATGTACACAAATAAGAAAATTAAAAAGGCTTGTAATTAATTTTCACCCAATTAAGTGGACTTGACTTGGTTTTAGCGAAGCTAAACAAAGCTCCACTACCCACAGTGGTTTTCCATTGCGTTTTATAGTGTCTATAATCATCATAGCAACCAGTGTGAACACACTTTGAAGGAAATGTATGCAGGCTTTAAGTCATATCAACCACCCCACCATTATAGTAAGTAAATAGCTAGTATGTAGTGTATTGTATTTACGTACATGGGTGATTTAGTTTATGCCCTACAGCGAGTGATCTGCTCGTACGTTTCTATTATTTATCAGAGCAGAGCAAGTTTTTAGTCATTAGACAACATCAATGTAGTCTGCAAAATAATGAGAAAATTGTAGGAATAGTTGGAACATAAGGAAAAATACTCGCAGACACTCACACACCCTCTGCAACAGGTATGCCATTTTCCTATAGGAAATACTAGTACTATATATGTATATATTTAATAAATGTACATACACACTTATAAAAATGTACATGCATATGCGCATACGCATACATATAAACATACATGTTTCGTATAGAAATATTTATAAAAAGTGTTCCATGCGTATATATGTACATATGTGTATGTTTTTGAAAGAGAGAGAACTTTAAATGTATTCAGTGGGTATATAAATACATTCAACAAAAATTTCTCAAGAAAAATCAGATTTTTTTATTTATTTTTTTTGTTTGAAACCGTATTCTTTCTTTTATACTTGCTCCCAGGCATTCAACGTTATTCTGGCAGCTAAGTTCTGATATTGAAAAGTTTAACTAGTTGCAATGTAATTGTAATCAACAAAAGCATTTGAAAAAACATATTGTGTGAAATAACGTGTAATGAAAACGGGCACGATAAGCCCTAGAATTTGATAGGAAGCATCTATTGAAATCGCGAATTGTGTTTGCATATTATATTGAATATACATATGTACATACGAGATGTATGCATATTATTGTTTTTACATACATAATCATATATAATGTACATGTATCTATGTAATATACGTATAGCGATAATATCGTAAAATGTTGAGTGTTAAAATTCCATGAAATATTTCAGTATGAATATCAAAGTTTATAAATAACCGTATGCTTTTACAAATGTAATTACGCACGAGTACGCGTAGCTTTTGAGTGGGATCATTTAGTGTTTAAATACGCATATGTACATAAAAGATTCTCCTTAAATATATATGTACACACATATTAAAATAAAAAAAACTTAGCTCTACATACAAATGGGGATAAGCTGACAGTAATTATGAAATCCTCCACCACCTCTGAAACAGATTGTGAGTATTGCGATGTCAGAAAATACAGTTTGTTATATGGCTCATATAATGTATAAATTCTTATAAGGATGAATGTTTATGATGTGACGCGAAATTTATGACCGTACATAAAAGGGAGCTCTTTCACGACCACAATCACGTTGGTTCTTTACATGCACACTAGTTAAGAGGATGCAGTGGAGAGCACCATAGAGAACACACGCTGAAATACACATGCGTACGTACAAGGGTACGGATGCCTCTGTCAGATCGCTTAACAATTCTAATATGGAAGAAAAAACGAAATCAGGACATTTGTCAACATTGCGACGCCCTGTAGCGGTGATCAAAAAGAGATCAGGCCCTTTGGATGTTGCGATTGACAAGCTTAGTATAGCAGCGGAAAACGACTTGTTCACATCAAATGCAAGCATACCTTCGGATGTATACTGTGAGCCAACTAATTTGGCGAATAAGAATTTGGGAAGAGCTTCTCCTGCATCTAGACGACGTCGTTGCAGCACTAAAGACAAAGAAAAAAAACGAGAGCGCTGGTTATTAACTCGAAAGTCATGGAGATATATGACAGATGCTGGACGCAAGCTTATTCCGGAAGGAGCGCAGAGTGGATCAGATAATATTTCCTTAATTGAGGCACAATTTCAACGAGTTTGCGCCTCTGAGCCCCGCTTTATATTATGGCGTCGAAAGACCTCATATCCAGGAGCAATCAACAATTCTAAGAGGCGGCTCAAACTAATTTCTCGGCATACAAGTACAAGTAGCAGTCGCTTTGGAGCGGAGGCAACAGATCAACATAATAATGTCGATCAGACTATTGAGCTATTGCAGTCATATCTCAAAATACGCGATGCGTACAAAACAACAACCTTACTGGGAAGCAAAACAGTAAGACCCGATAAAACTTCATCACCAAGTGCACAGAGGCCAATTAATGAGAATATGTCAAAAACCAATTATTGTGAAAAGTCACTCGAAACGGAGCTCTTGTCTCGTTTAAAATTATTGTCCGAAACCCCCCTATTGGAGCCTATTGGGGGAGTACAATTAAAATTAGATAATATACGACAAGATATTCTTGAAGATAAAGTTATTTTGAGGAAAATATACAACTCACTAAAAAAACAGCAACTTCATCGAATGCTACATTCCAAAGAACCACAAAAACATAATATTGGTCGTGCCTCTTCACTTTCAAGTCTATTCAAATTGAATAGTTACCAAAGCAGCTCTAACAAAAGCTTTTCAAGTGGAGTGAATAGATTAAATGATTACCATAGGTTCGATAAGCTGATATATCAGAACCCGACAAGCTTAGAAAATTGTGATACCAGAACAAATCTGCGTGTGACCCCAGATGAATCTAGTTTGGATCCCCGCATCGATCCTCTAGCAACTGATCTGTGTCCCCTAAAAGGCAACAAAAAAAATGAGAGGATTGAAAGGAGTTTCAACACATGCGGAACACAAACTAGTTTTATACAGCTTAGCGAACTAAAACGCCTGGCTGAAGAATTTGAGCAGACTTTACAGCAGTGCAAAGATAGTTCTGCGCCATCTCTCCTGGATGAAGAGTTGGTAGAGAAACATGGTACGCTTTCAGATCGAAGAAAAAGCTCTATTGATAACGAAGATATTTCACAATCTGTAAGTGACACCATCAAGCGGTACTTAAGGATGGCAAGAAAAAAAACTGTAAACGGTGCGGACGCAAGTAGATTTAAGTCAATTAACTACGATAAAAATTTACGAAACATTAAAGCAAAGGGTGAAATAAATCCTCCTGGAATGAATGAAGGCTCGAACAAAGCTGTTCAAACACTAGAAGCTTGGCCGCTTATAGCGTTGGAGTATGTTCGTGGAAACGAGTGTTTCAGAACCTTGGAAAACGCCCACATGGAATGGAAGAAGGCGGAAGATGAACGACTTAGAACAAAATTAGAATGGGAAAAAACTCAAAAGCAAAATATTAAGGAAAATGTCCAGACTGCTAGCCCAACATATTCGACATGCATTTCAGCACCTACATCTCCAAACAGTCATACAAGACTGGAAAAAACTATTAAAACATCTACCGGCTTGCTGACTTCGAGCTCTCAATTTCTTTCGAATATTTGGCACGGTCACAGCAATCCCGGTAGCACAACTAATTTAATCACCCTAAACGACAAACATGGAAATATAAATAATGCAAATCGCAGTAAGTATTTACATAAATTCATTGAGTTAAATGGGAAAACAAAGAATAAATGGGTCGGCGATGCTTCCTTCCTTCTGTTAGTTAGAATGTAATACCCGATACTCAGTTAGTGTATAGTATGTACATACACATATAATTTATATAATGGAAAACTCAGTCAAGACGTACTGCACCTACCACGCAAGGACTGCAGAATATTAAGGGGAATACTCACAGGTCACTGTCTGGCAGCGGCACATGCAGTCTGATGAACAACGCGTTTAGTGGTAGTGGTGGTGGCTCAATATCAGGTAGTTGCACAATCAGACTCATTTAAGCGCATGACAATGTGGACATTCTTTTTCCATAGCACCAATCCGCACTTTAGGATGAGCGGATGGCTCGTACTCGAATGTGAGAGAAAAAAACGACGCAAGTGTAAATGCTCGATGAAATTGTTGTCGTTGTCTCGACTTTTCTCCGTGACAGTTCATTTTGTACCTGCACGCTTTTCACCTTTTGTTCCTATTCTGATTAGTATTCAGACAATTGCGATATGATCCCACGCACATTTTCGTAACCTTGTTGGAATCGTTCGCCTGTTCTTTCTGCTCTAGTATTTCGCATGCTTATTGTTTTATTAGTTGGACGGCTTAACGGCATTGTTCGATATAATAAACACACAAATTGACCAAATTGATATTTGGTATTTGCATCGAACCACCTTTGCACCTTTCAAAAACACAAAGCCCACATACAAATAAGCATATGTACTTGATTATGTTTACATTTCGTATGAAATATGTAGATATTTTTCATACATAGATACTAAAATCCCAATTACGACATACAATTTTAAAATACGTTACGACCAATTCGCATACAACAACAATTTCATAAAAATCGGACTAGGCATGAAGACTCCAAAAAATTCGTGAAGAGCATTTGAATGGATCTAATGACGTTGATTTGCTCTGTACATTTGCCATAAGCAACCAGGCTCATTCGTTACATATGACACGACAATCCGCCACAACCGATTCTGGATTTGTACTATAGCCTTCAAGGTGTTATTTAAAAATTGGTTAGAGTTTATAACTTACAACTTACACGGTATTTTATAATCGAAATATAAACTAGGTGTTTCTCGTTTTTTTTTTTAATTAGTGAACGGCGATTTCATATAAATAACCCTTGCTAAAATTTCAGATCTAAGAAATGCAACAAGCAATATGCAAAAGTCCAAATCGTTGTCTAACGTTGGGCAATTTGTAACGAAAAAAATTTTGAGAAGTCGTTCCAAAAGCCAAAATAGACCTCATTTACATCAAGAGCTGTCTACAGTCTATCAAAAATGGTTTCCTTCGGTAAGTTACTATTAATTAAATTAATAGTAATATAATTTAATAACACTATTTAAAAAAATCATTGCCTTTTTCTGACCGGCTTGGGGCTCTGCAAAGGCATAATAAATATTTTCCGCTATTTCCGTTTGGAATATATTTATTTAATACAAATTATGATTTTCAACGATATTTTTCTAAACACTTTGTTTGATTTAAAAAACTTGTATCGGCGCCCTTTTTAAACTTGAATTAAACGATCATATATTCAGAAAAATGTTTAAAGTAGCTCGAGCTTTTAAGCCCCATAACCTCTTTTAATACTATTTTCTTTAGCTGTCTTGGCTGTCTGATCTTATAACAATAAAATTTTCATACTTAAGTCTGAGACCTAGCTCAGGCCACTGACAATGACAAAAACCAATGAAACAATGAGAAATTGTCTGTCTTTTCTGTTTTTGCTCTACAAGTATTCCAACACCATTAATGGGTGTGTTGCCTATCTCTCTTGCATTATGATTAAAGTCACATTCTCTTATATTGAGATTTTAAACATATACATACATATGTATATGAAACGATACATAGGAGAAAGTGAAGGAAATTAAATTTATTTGGTTCATGGGCGCATGTGCTATAATTTGCCACACTCAAATATAATGTACATACATATGTAAGGGAGAGGGCCCGGTTGTGGACATAGTTAGGTTTTTGCCTCATAACTTTTGACCAATTGCATATTATACAAACATATGTGTACCAATTTAAAGCTAGAGGCATTGGCTAACTATCAGTGAAGAACTAAATTGATTCCTAAATTCGGAAAAATTGTATCAAGAATTTAGTGAAGTAATCTTTTTTCGAAAAAAAAAAATATAGGCCTAGTTGTGGACCACCCTGAAAAATCCGCTTAAAATTAAAAAATATGAAAGAAAATCACCACAAATTTTATCAAGAATTTAGTGAAGTAATCTTTTTTCGAGAAAAAAAAATATAGGCCTAGTTGTGGACCACCCTGAAAAATCCGCTTAAAATTAAAAAATATGAAAGAAAATCACCACAAATAACGAGAAATTGGAAGTTTGTTTATTTTAAGAGCCTACTGGCTTAAAGAGAAAGAAGGATGATACTTTTTAACATGAATCATCGTAGTCAGAGTCGCAGTGTTTGCATGTGAAGTAGCTGGCACGCATATTAGCGCACTTTAAATGCACCAGACGACTACATTCATTGCATTCGATGGAGTTTGCGGCGGTCAACTTCTTTGGCAGGAGGTGCAGACAGATGATGCAGAAATCCTTATCATCTTCGGAAAGAGCCTTGCTTCGCTTAGCTGCTGGTTTGCCTAATGATGCCTTCCGTCCACGCTTTTTCTGGGCAGAAACAGATGCCTGCTTCCTCAAGGAAGCAATACAGTTTGATATTCTGTGCAGCATTGTACGCGTGAAATGAGATCGTATACGTCACACGTACACATGCTGCCATGCAGCCGCTGCATCGTCTAAATTCGATATCAAGCTCAAAGCTCAAACTAATGTACTGTGGTCTAAATGTTATTTATTTGTACTAAATTACATTAAACAACAATATTATGCAGTAACCAAATACACGCATTAAATACAAAATACAAGATGTCTACAACAGGTATCTTGGCGTGTGTCATAACCGGGCAAAACAGACAATTTTTCCAAAAAACCAAAAAAAATGTTGTGCATATATTTTGGTTAAAAACGAAAACAATTCACAAACTACAATGACCACACTACAAGGAAAACGAAATACTATAATTTTTGGACAAAATTTACATACATTTTTTCGCACTTGAAAAATAATAAAATTTACTTTAAAGTTTTTTTTTCCCCATTTTTTATTATTATGCTCACAGCACCTAGACCAAAGCAGCTATTTGTTTCGGTATTAGCACAAAAACTGCGTATTGTTACCGAATATGACTCCCAATACTCAGTTTAGAAGTATCTGCTTGCTGTCCAAGTTTTTGGGGGGTGGGTCACAACTAGTACCTGGTCCACAACAGGGCCCTCTCCCCTACCAACCGTCACTTTATTAAAAAAAAAGGATGTATTCCGAGGAAATTAAGAACTAAATTGAAGCAGAGGTACGAAAAACAAAACGCACCTAATAATACAAAAAAAAACAAAAAACTAATGTTTGGCTATAAATTGTTTGAATGGTTGTATGTCCTTCATGTAGCTTCTTTGGCCATTTTTTGTTCATCTTTACCATTCCAGAATATGTAAGAGTGCAATTTCGCACTCCTATGTGCGATAGTTCAACATTTCCAGTTACCTTGAACCGATCTTTTTATAGTCAAAATTTAAGTAAATAATATTAATTCTGAAACAGTACACTGCTGTTATTAGCTTTTCAGATTGGAAAAGTTCTTGAAAATTATATATTTCAAACTCTTCAGCTATTCTAAAACTATCAAAGAACTAAAATAAACTTTGAACTAAAATTCCCTAACTTAACAAAAAGAAAAACTTGAACCGTAAAAAAAAGCATAATACATTTGAATCGAAACCTCGAGTCTAACAGAAAAAGTGTGTTTGATGTCACAGTTTTATTGGCGGTTGCATGGTTAAAAATGATAACTCAAATTATTGTATTTTAAAAACTGTTCGCAGGAGAATTTTGTATGGATCTCAGAAAACAATGAAAAGTTTCAAATTGTGGAGACTGTCCTTATGAGTTTATCGAAAACGGAATCAGACTTTCTGAAGCATTTTGCCTTGGAAAAAATAAAGGAACTCAATATTGGGAATAATCTAGGTAAATAGGAATCATTTCGGATGAAAGATAACATTCATTTTCTAAATTGTATTACATTAAAATAATAAATCTTTGAATTTAATTTGAAATAAAAAAGATGAATTTACTTTTTAAAAGCGAAAGTAATAGTTAATTTCCATTTATCTTCCAAATTGAAACAGATTTAGATTTGGAAAAAAAATCACACAAACGACGAATTATACCGAAGAAGAAGTCACTAACAACAAGTTTTTTTGATATTGGAAGAAAATATGAACACAGTAAGATTTTTTTTCGGACTACTCGTAGATTTTTAAATATGGTTTTTGTATGTAAAAAAGATGTAACCAGTATTTACATTTACCTAAAGAATTGCACATTAAATTTATTTATAAATTTCACATTTTAATAATATACTTTTCTAATATCAAGACGGCCAGGAAGTATTTTTTGGGACCTCTTTAGAATGCTGCTTATCAAGATCCGCAGACTCTCAACGGAGCGATGTCGTTGGGACCCGGGCTCGATCGAAGCACTCCCTGATGTCTGTGTTTCAAGGAAGTGGTAATGGCACTGGAAGCAATATCAAGCTGAATGAAAGTGTAAGTACTAATGGGTTTATCTTAATCTGGATGAAAAGCCGAGAAGATATATCCATATACAAGCGCCCATATGCATATGTTTAATCTTCTTTCCCTCATAGACATATCATTGGTCGGAATCTGACAAATCAGACCACTATATCTTGTTTTAGCTAGATTGCTTGAAAATATATGGCTATATTAGCTCGACTATTTATGCTGATCAAGCTTTATCGGGTCGTAAATATGTTCTACATACGTACATACATATGCATGTACATATGTGTTATAACTTATACCCAATTTCATAGTACCAATACCCCCATTCAAGTGTTAACAATTAAACTCTTTCTACTGGTCATATCTCAATTGTACATATACAATATATGGGCCACAAACTTAGCTTTCATGCATTTATCTATTTGTCAGGTTCGGTCTTGTGAAAGTTTGCCGACCAAGTCTATGGAGTGTGGATATATCGAGACGTCGGAACGGTTTCGTGATTCTTTGATCAATTTAAATAAACCATCCTCCTCCTTATCTCATTATGATATGGAACATAATGAGTTAGATTTCGATAAAACTTTACACACTCCATCGCATTTAAACGTACCTATATTTATCATAAATTGCATCGATTATTTGGAAGACAATGGGTTACAAAAAATTGGAATTTTTCGTGTCAGTACGTCTCGGAAGCGTGTTAAGCAAGTATGTTTTTCAAAACTATTAAAACTTAAAAAAATTGTTTGTCCAGCTTTAATTTAAAACCATGAATTTAATGACACACTAGTTACGAGAGGAATTTGACAAAAACTCTCATATGAGAATTCCCGATGAAACAAGTCCGCATGATGTTGCTACCCTACTTAAAGAATTCCTTCGCGATCTTCCAGAACCTCTGCTTTGCAGTAGACTCTACACAACATTTTTAGAAACCCAAAGTACGTATTATACATAATATATAAACGTATATGAACATATATCTTTTATAACAATCTGACTTTTTAGGGATTCGAAATCGCCGCTTACAACTGGAGGGCATTTCCCATTTAATAAAACTCCTCCCTATTTCACATAGAGATACGCTGTATGTCTTACTGCGGTTTCTGGCAAAAGTAGCGGCACATAGTGATGATATATGTGACAGCGATGGAAATATTGAGATGAATGGCAACAAAATGGATAGCAGTAATCTATCTACAGTTTTCGCTCCAAATATTTTGCGTGGTTCAGATCAAGCATCAGCAAGAGATAGGGTGCAGGACCATATGAACGACGCAATAAATGTAGTCAGGTAACCCATAGTTTTTCACTGATAAGTATTTGCTTTCACCTAACCAGAATCTAAATTATTTAGAACTATGATTGACCATTACGAAGAAATATTTAAAATATCAGCAGACTTCCTTGACGTTATTTATTCACATATGTTAGATGCATGTCCAGACATATTGTACGGGTTAATTTCAACCAAAATTAATGGATCACAATGGTAAGAATGATATAAAAATGGAGAGGGCAAAACGTATAGTGCATCATCACGTGAGAGAGGCTGGGCAGATTTGGTTAAAATTGTTATTTAGGAGAATGTTTTTACTAAAGAAAATTTGGGAAATCCTGCGATTGCGAAAAAAGTGATTTTTTATTTGTTTCTTTTATGAAGCGAGGCCGGGTACAGCTAGTTAAAATATAAAATAACAGTGGGCAAGCCTCCTGCGCACTCGTTTCGCTTACACATCCCACATTGATGCTGTCATCCGTGCAATTTTGTTAGAAGTAGTTATATTTTACAGCAGTGACTTTTCGCCCGATATTTTATTTTTTGTGCCTCTTCTTCTTCTTCCTTGTTCTCAAACTCATACACACACACATACGTATACCACCCCCTCTTGTTCTTTTTCCTCAAGCTCATGGAAGTTAGAGAAAGAAGAAAAATAAGAAGCGGCACGCACAAGAAGAGAGATATAATAAAATTTATAGGCTAGGAGTTCTAGCGCTCGGCTTTTTTCGGGTCGAGTCGGTCGGCTGCGTATTTGCATGTAAATATGTACTATATAAGAGTGCAAGCCGGTTCTACATTGTAACAAGAGGCACCGAAAATAATTGATCAAGCGACGACCCCAAACTATTTTATATAAAACGAACCAAACTATTTTATATATTTGAGAAATATAATAAAATTTATAATTGAAACGATTTAATTGCTATGTGGAACCTCTCACTCTTTCTTCTCTTGCGCTTTAGGCTTTTGTAAAAAAACGAACGAATGCAGCAACCAATGTCTCAAAATTTTGTTGCTTGAGCTTACCATCTATGAAAGCTAAAGATAATTTTTTAAATGCGTGCTTTTTTATTTTGACTTTAAAAAGTCGAAATAAATTAGTTTGTTGTTGTTTTAATTCGTTTTATTCGTAATTCATGGTATACTCGTGAATCTCGTAAAACATCATTTTGCAGTTACATACATACAGTTTGGTACGTTGCTGGCCCAACTTCTAACATTTAATCAAAACAAAAAAAACGAAAATAACTTGTAATTTATTAGCTGTTTTGTTACATAGTGTTATTGAAAGATGAATTAAATTTAACTTTGTATTTCACACTTTTTCAAAAGGCAACTGAATCATTCAGATGAGTCGTCAGTAGTTCAAAACAGTGACGCGGCAAGCTCTGCAGATGAGGTTTTCGAGTCTTCGAGACATACTAAACGGTAAAAATAATCGCATTTTATTTTTCAATACAATGAACAATGGTGTGGTTTACAGGTATGGCCAGTATGTGGGTCAGTATGATAACGAATCCGAAAAACGAAAATCGGAAAATCCTGTTAACGAAGAAGTGTTGCAAAATGATCCTGACACTTCTCAGAACGATGCACATAAGAACGAGCTGCCAGACGAAACTTTAAAAGTATTTACTGCAAGTCTTAAAATATCGTTACCGGAGCAATCATTGTTAAAATACAAGGAGTCCGTTAGAGGTAAATGTAATTTGAAACATAAAATTCGAAAACTTTGCTTATGCACCTATATTTAGATAATGAATTAGCGGGCAATAGGCCATCTGAGCCCAGATTGCCAGCAAGCATATCGAATATTGGTTGTGCAACATTGAGTGCAAAGGCTGCAGAATTCGAAAAAAATCGTCCATCCCATGGAACCCAAGCTACAGAATTAAGAAGGAAACCTCTATACAAACGACAGCAGTTGATATCCAGCTCCAGAAAAAAAAACTAAATGTAATGCTCTGATATGGGAGAATGTAGACTCCAATCAGGTTATTAGGATTCTGGACTATGAAGGAAGAACAAATTACATACTTAAGCATTATTAGCCTTTAAGTTTTTCCTTTATATATTGTAATAATCTTAAATATAAGAATGTTTTTTTATTTTAACAAAATATACTCTTAAACTCTTAGCAAAATTCTCTTTTGCGTACAGTCTATTTTAATTAAACATTTGTATATATATGTATATATATATTATATTATAATAATATCGAATATGTGGTAATAATTAGCACTTGCTTCTTATTCTAAATTACAAACAGCTTTAGCATAAGATAGTATTCACAGCCAATTATTAAACGTACTATAAATATTGTTTCGTTTTTTTCACATGCCCTTTGCCTTCGACTTAAAACTATTATTGTACTAAAGTTTTAAAAGTTACTCAATTAAGTTGTGTACGTACGTCTTTCCAGTTTCATATATTCTTAGTATGATAGATACATATGTATGTATGTGCGCATATAAATAAAAAATAATAATATACATATATGTATTTACTATATATTATATATATCTATGTATATATAAAATAATCATAATAATAATTAACTTTCTAAAACAGCTATTACAATGTACCCAAATAACAATGCATGTACAAAATGTTGTCCGTTACCTTTACTGCACTTCGCCTAAGTATCTCAGATTTAAAGGTTAAACGTGCCGCTATGCATCCGGTTGTAAAAATTCTCATTTACAACAATTTTTGCTATTACATTACATATATTGTCTACTTTCTAGGACTGACTATATTAAATGTACATGTTCATATGTATGCTCATAAAGTCTTAACCAAACAGAAAAGCCACATGTCGTATGAAACTTATTGACTTGGTTCAATACTTAGTGGGTTTTGTTTTGTCAATTGACTTCCACCCAAATAGACCATATTGGGTGAAAATCTATTGAATATTCCATACATACATATGTACATACATTTTAACAATAGTTTTGATTAACACTCTTAGACCGCTGGCGGGGAACCATAGCTTTATTGAGCCAGTGGAAGGTTTTTGCATTGTGACCATAAATTTAGCTTTTTTTTAAATCATATTTTAGAAATTACAAAAAAAATAAATAATGTTTAGCACAATTTCATGCTCTACTAAGTATCTATTCGAACTATTCTTTTTGTTCATACCTCATGTACATATTTACATTACGAAGGTCCGGACTCCGGAATATGTATGTATGTAAATACATTCTTATCATGGATACATTATATAAAAAATGAACTTGTTTGACTATTCATGTAATTTAACGATATTACATGTTATTGTTGTTGTCACTAGACCTTATATTGTCATAAGATGTATTTTTTATAAAGGACTGAGATAACATACTCCAAATATGATTAAATTACAATATATCGGTTTTTATCGTTTCTTAGAATACAAAATTGAGAAGCCAAAGCGAAAGAATAATGTAAATTTTTGAAAGCAAATAGTGTACTTGTAGTTCTGATCAAAATGTATAGAATAGCTTTAAAATCCAATAAAAAAAGATTAAATTTCAGTATTCAGTCATTCATTATGGAAGCATCGTGAATAATAAAATTTAATACGATTTTGCTTAGTTAAATATGTTGCCGGCAAAATATTATCACTCCGGTAAGAAATAAATGGGACTTATCTTATTTCATTTTTTGGTTCATCGATTGGTTTAAATATTTATGTTTTGTGTGTTTGTGTGTATTCAGTGTCTTTATTTATTTATGTTAAGGTACTTATATTTATATATTTAATCAATATTTTGGCATGCCCAAGCCTTACGAGTGTGCGTCCAATTTATTAAATTTTGGCGTTAGATCATGACACATAGTCACGATTTGAGTTAGCTGAGTATTCATCGATATAACGATTCGAAGCTGAAAATGCACATATACAACACATATCAAATTAATATTCAAATTTATCTTTGAAATTTTTATAAATCCATGATTGATGTAGGGTTTATGGAAATTAAGTTTACTTACAATCTTCCATTAATATAACTTGTGTATTTTCTATATTTGTACTAGATACAGAGTGTGGAATTAAGTTTAGCTCGTCGTCGCTCCATCGAGTTCTGGCACTAGAACGAGTTACAGCCATGGTTGGAGCTGAGTATAGGCTCAAGTTTGTCGGACTTATTACACCAGACATTGTGGAAATAGAACCGGCATATCCCAGCAGCTGGAAATTGTAATCCGCACGCACGCATATCAAAATTCATTAAAAACAATTTACACAACGTAATAAAATACTATAGGTATTTTATAAAATATATAAATAAATGCTTACCGATGTAGATTGCGAATGAAAGTGGTTAAAATATTCCCTTCCATTAGATGATGGATACATTTGCGTGCTAATACGACTTAAGGAGTTGGAAGCTGCTGGTGAAAGCTTACATCGTCCATTTTCAATATATGCATGTGGACTTGTTGATACCGGTGTCTGAGGTTGCGGTTGGGGTTGGGGTGAAGTAGATGTCACTAGAGTAGTGCAATGAACGCTATGTGAACTGGTATCTGTATTAATTGGACTGTGGTTGCCCTCTATGTTATTTGTATTTCTACTATTTTCTGGCTCCAAACCATTTTTTGTTATGCAAAGGGTATTATTAGTAATATTCGGAGAATGGTTTGTCGAGCCCGAGGGTGAAGGAGGTGAGTGAACCATTGCCAAGTCTCCGCTAGTCCGTATGATTGCTACTGGTCGTGCCATTGGTGGCAACATGGGCGGTAGCATTGTGCTATGATAATGAGTCGCTGGCGAAGTAGCCAATTTCGAATTCCTGAGTTGCTGATGAATTTGAAAATGCGGGGGATGGCTATGGGAAACGTGCGTATGTGGATGGGCATGCTGAAACGCATGATCAATAGTTCCTGTTGATATTGTTGTTGGGTGACCAGCATCTTGACAAACGTATGTGACAAAGTCTGAAATGTCATGGGATTCCGTAGAATACTTGTCAGCAACAGCACGATGACATTGGTCTTCGTCAATTATTGTTGAAGACCTTATATTTCCATGCTGGGGGTAATACAGAGTATTGACTGGGCTGATAGAAGACGAATGCAATGAAGGGCAATTCGGGTGGGAAATACCTACATAAATTTCAAAATATGTATAATAAAACTATTAACGAAGATTAAGTTAATGTGCACTAAGTATACATACCTTCTGGAGAGCGGAATTGAGGTGTTGGCCTATTGTTAAGCGACGTGTAGCGGTGCAAAGAAATCGCTGAGTCTGAATTGGCTGTTGAATCTCCATTTGAGTTATTATTTTCTGTTGCTCGAAGGATTACCGAAAAGCTACTGGTGCAGTTTTCAGCTGAAGTACTTGGCCGAGAAACAATCGGAGGCGAGTTACTTTGATCGACCTTACTGGCATCAGTGGACCCGCCATTGGGCGCTTCTGCGTGTAGTAACGGACTTTGTGATAAATGCATGCTCCTCTGATCTACAAAGTCAACTAAATAAAGTAAATATTAGTTTTTAATATAATTTAGACTATGTGTTTAGGGTTTACTAACTACTATAACCACCAGGAATTGGATTCGCTACAATTGCCGCAGTTTGAACTAAACTCTGGGAGCCAGGCATTGAAGATTCTGAATTCATTTGATATGTGTTGCAATCATAGGCAGCTCCCACGTTTTCCCTCTTAATAAGGTTTGAGTGGAGGTTATTGTCACTGGCTTCATCCAATATTGAATCTGGAATAAACATTTTAGAGTCGCCCCAGCATTCATTTGTTTATTTTTTAAAAATACCTTTCGACAATGTCCAGAGCTCCTGCGATGAGAATACTCCAGTCGCTAAAATAATATCATTACAAACAACTCCATTATAAGGATTGTGTCTCACGCCTTCATTTTTCATATCAACGCCATCTTCTTTTCTCTCCAAAGGATTATTATTTCGAGTATATAATGTCAAATTTGGCGAACTGGAATCCACTGCTTGTGCTGTTGACAATGCCGGATTAGCCGAATTATGAGTGTTTATGAAGTTAGCCAAATACAAATCCAACTCTCTGACAGAGACATTAATGTGATACGGATTGACACAAAGTCCTGGATGCAAGCATTCTGGGTTCTTTTCTAAGCGCTCCCCGTCTGTGCTTTCTAGGGGAATTGCTTTAAAAAGAATGACCATGACCAAATCGAGCCGCCAGACTTTGTCAGCTTGTCTGAGACAGTCTATGCGTCTCATTTTTCCTTTTTGGTCTGGATTTGATAGTACACAAATGGATTTACGTTTGCCGATTATTGATTGCACAAAATCCTCCCGACTTTCTTGTGTTATATCTTTTCTAAGTTTCCCAAGTAGGCGGGAAGCCCATTTTTGTTTAACCTCCGTCTTCTCATTCTAGAAATGAAATGTAAGAACATTTAGGAACGATAGTCATTTTAGTCTATCTTTTTGTTACTACCTGTAGTTCGTCCTTGCAATGTCTTTCCTCTTCTAAAGACATTCGTTTTTCGTGTTTTTTATAATATTTTCGTTTGGCGGCTTGTAAGTTAAACCAAGAGTATGAAAATGATTTGACGTACGGTAAAAGCGCCTCAATAAAGGGGTGAAATTCATCCTAAATTTAAAACAAAAGTAAACGACTTCAGTATGATTACAATAACACATATTTTTGCTTAGTAAAGGCTTCACATGTGCATCTAATAAATTCGTTTTGGTTGTAAAACAGAAACTAAACTAGACTTAAGAAAAACACACAGAGACATAGAGAGGAGAGGCGTAGTTACACAGGTAAATGGTAAACCAACTGGAATAATATAAAAACGAATTTTTTATGTTACATATATGTACATACATATGTACATATTGTTTGTATGCACATATAAATATGTATGTACTCCCAAAAATAATTTTTATTTAATGTAACAGAAAACGGAACACTGTTTGGGTTATACAATAGTAATGATTCAAATTTACTAGGAGCGCAATCAAAGAACATTTATAATATTTTACGAGTATACATACAATACTAGTACATAGTACAATAGTATGTACATAGGATATTATAGATACATAGACACGTTGTAAACAGCAAACGTTATTTCGTCAAGCATTCCCAATTAATGAAAGTAAATATTTCACTCAGGAGGGTAGGATGCAGATGCCGTAACTAACCATAAATGACTCGACAAAAATGGAATTATATAAATTACCTTTGAAGCGCACAAAAAGCTAATTCCTCTTTAAATAATAAACAAAAGCTTCGGAGCCCGAAGATTTTGATACTCTTGCAGATCGAATGTGGCATTACCAATGGTAGCAACTTTTTTTTGGTATTAATTAAAATAATAAAAAAATAAGAATTCTAACTTTAGGTCAGATTATAATCGATAACACACTTGGGCCTTAGAAATGGTTTGATGATATTTTTTTTCTATGGCAGAACTTTTTTTTTAATAATTTTTGAAAACTGGTATTTTTTTATAAGCTTTTTTCAGAGGTAGCGCTTGTTTTTTCACATAACTCTAGTATCTTACGTCTGGTTGTAAAGAACTTTGCTATTTTGAAAAGATAATTAAAACAGCTAGAAGGACACAGGATATATTTTTTTTCGACTTTACCTGAGTTTTTAAAGTCAAAATTTTGTAAAAAATACCTCACAAAAATCATCATTTTTGCATTTCAATGCTTTATATTTCCCAGACGGTAAGCTGAAATTACAAAATGTTTGGGCTTAACTTCTAGCTGTTTTAATTATCTTTTCAAAAAATATTTACAACCAGACGTAAGATACTAGAGTTATGTGAAAAAAACAAGCGCTACCTCTGAAAAAAGCTTTAAAAAAAATACCAGTTTTCAAAAATTCTTCAAAAAAAAGTTATGCCATAGAAAAAAACCATAATTCTTTAAAAAATTTTAAAGCCCCATATCTATTAGAAAAAGTCGGTTTGGATCCTTGAGGAAAAAAAATTTCGATTTTGTCGAGTAGTGTAATTATTGGAAGATGCAAAAAATGCGCGGGGTTTTTCGATCCATGGCAGCTACTTATGTATATCATATTAGATCTGATCCGAAAGTAGGTACATACATACATATGTATGTATACATGTACATTTATTTTGCAAGCAGAAAAAAGAAAGGTCTGTGCAAAGGTAGTCTGTGGCATAGTAGCCATATAATAGACAGATGGACAGATGTACATGTGTGTATATCGTGTATACTCGTGTCCGACCATAACGAAACTTTTTCAATCTATTCAGCGCTACATCTAGTTAAAATTCTAGTACTCCTGCAAGAGTATAGTACATAGTACAAAACTAGTTAAATAAAATGAATTTTCTGAAAAGATGAAAAATTTAACAAACGTGTGAAAACTATCTGTCACCAAAATAGTGGACTGAAGTGACGGTGGATCATTGTCAATAATATAACTTTTGTTGCACTATATGTACATATACATACATAATTATATATATGTATATATTGGTATATTCCTATATATACCTATATAAATCTACATTTGTATGCATGTATGTATATATGTACATATATGAAAATATAACTTTTATATGAATGTACGTACACAGAATGGTAACGATAAGATGACAAGATGCAATTGATGTGTGCAGTGTTTATTTAAATAAAGGTATACATACAGATATTTAACACAGAGACATCAAGATAAAAATTGGAATACCAAGTATTATTAAGACTTTAATTACATTTAAATTTGTTTAATATTTGATGAGAATATGGTTTGCGCATTTCTTTTCCTAAGCATCCAGAGTAATTTTCATACCTGACGATAAAATTAGTAAAATTTGATTATTGAAACCAATATTTTATTAAAATGGTTGTTATGCACGTATATTTATGTATTTGGGTAATGCTCACTTAATTATTTGCCAATTTTTTATAAGCTCATCCCTACAATTACATACACTTTCTTCCACCCTCGCCATTTACAGAAAAATAATATATCTATCGCAGACGAATATTTATAAAAAATGTGTTTCAACATTTTACCTGTCCTGTCGACGATGTTTGCAAATAAGAAGAAACGTCCGTCTCGATCATACAGCTTCTTAAAGTATCTGGTATGAACATACCTTAAAGCAGTCTTTTGTTCATCGAATTTTTTATAGTTTGGAATCCATTGACCATATGTATCTACAATAGAAATAATAAAAAATTCTCAATAGAAGATACTACATAAATCACACGAAATGAAGGCCCCAAGCTTTAGATACGATACCTTTGAAGATCCAATATTCCAATATATTCCAATGGTGTTGGTATCCGATTTGATAAAATCAGGACTAGCTGTGAACAAACACATACAATTGTGTTCAATGAAATAGTAGTGCCGCACCTCACTACTTTCAAAACTCTTTTTGAGATAGTTCTAGTCTTTCAAATTGAACAAGTGATACCTTTACGGAAAGCCTGGAATGTAGGCATTGGATAACCGAAGAAACCCCGTTACATTTGCATTCCATCTTCTTGTTTTACATGACATAAGCCGAATACCCATAAAATATGCTGTTCAATGAAATAGTAGTGTTTTTTTAGAAAATTAAAAAAAACAACGAAACTCAAATAAAAACATATATCTCATGTTCTTCATGTTTCTTGAGCTTTAATTTGTAGTTTTTTATCAATTTGGTTTTCATTGCGAACTTGCACGGGCCGGATATGGGTCATTAATCTCTTGCCAACGCTTCAATAAGATTTGAGCCAATAATCCATGAACCACTTGCTAAAACTAGGCTCTGGTTCACGGATTTGCAGTGTCAACAATGTATTTGGTATTCCAGCATAAGACTTCGATGAGATTTATATCTAGTTGGACAGTTGGCCTTGGAAAAACGTCGATATTTTCCGATAAAAATCAATTCCTAGCGAGCTTTTCTGGGTATTTTAAGTCATTATCCTGTTAAAAGATCCTTTTAACATGAATTTTTCAACTTTAATTTGAATTTAATGTATTCTAAAGTATGCCTACATACACAGTTTCGCTCAAAACCATAATATACTCAAACGCCAGGCTAGAAAGTACTAGCTTATATGAGCTGGGCCCCATAAGGCTCAGCCTTCCATGCCCAATGCTATTTTTTTCATGATTTTAAGTGGTAATTGAATTTCTGTGAATGCCAAACATATTCTTTTGAGTCTATCTTACCATATAATACAACTTTACTATCATCAGTCAAAAGTATTTTTGTCACTGTGACACAGGCCATTCCACATGCGTTTTTCCAAACTGAAGTCGTGCACCCATGTACTCTTAGACCCAAACGCGGAGCTTTCTGGGACTTCTTGCATTCAAATAATGTGTAATCAACCGTCTAAGAACCGTCACATCACTGACAGAGCGATTTAAAATTTTTTTCATAATTTTTGAGGATATTAAAGGCCTGGTCTTGCCTTCGACCATCGCCGACCATCCTCTAAAAAATAATTTTTTCGCATACAAAATCGATTTGCAGTCTACTTCTTTTAGTTAATTGGGTTAAATATAATAGTGAGAGTGCATACAACTTAGTTTTCAATTCCAATATACCTCCTGCCTTAAGTTTTTAGTCTAACTCTTAAGTATCCTCTTCTGGACCGAGCAATGATTTCTTTAACGCTTCAAAATCAAAAGTACCGATATGTCCAAAACTTTCTTTCATCAAATTATTCGATATCTGAATTGAGCTTGCGGATGGTGGCTTATTTAAATTAATTTGCTTTGTTTTTTCATTTTTAAAAATTAATTTAATCTAGCACTACTATTTCATTGAACAGAAGATATCATGGGTAGTTATCTAAAGTCATGAAAAACAAGAATTTGGAATGCAAATGTAACGGGGTTTCTTCGGTTATCCAATGCCTACATTCCAGGCTTTCCGTAAAGGTATCACTTGTTCAATTTGAAAGACTAGAACTATCTCAAAAAGAGTTTTGAAAGTAGTGAGGTGCGGCACTACTATTTCATTGAACACAACTGTACATAAAGCTACAGTATGTCAAGTCCAAATTAATTTTCTTCAAAACAAAATTTTTTTTTTTATTTGAGAGTGCTGCTATGTACAAATGATTTATTTACTATCATAAAAGTACTTACATATTTGGATATGTAAATATATACGAACTTTAGGATTAGTGTTTAATACAAAAAAACCTTAGGAGCCGAAACTCTGGTAAAAAATTTGTGTAATATCCAGATACTTATGTATGTATATGACAGTAAACACAACACATTATCATTGTTTGGATAATACTCGTAGCCAATTTCCGTTAATATTTCCTGCCAAAGATTACACAATCCTGTGTGGCTATTCTATATTACACAATCACGAAATATATCTACATATCTGCATATATATAAATATATAGATATAATCACACACACAAACACACACGCATATTGTACTTTTTCTTTATTTTTTTTTTAGGAAAGCATTGAATATGAATGTTTACATGTGTATGTATGTTTGGTATTCACCGAATGCACCAGACCTAGTGACACATGATAAATATACAACATGCGCGTACATACATATGTATGTACATTCATACAATGTATGTAAGTCTACCGAATTCTTTAACACAACCGAAAGATGACAGAGGAGTTTCGTTATGCAAAGCAAGTACCTGCAGACTAAATTTAAAATTGGCAATTCAGTTGGTGACTGTGTGGACTGGACTCTGTTCTCGTATCCAACTAACAAACAAATACATCGGTTTTGGGAGGGCCTAGTGCCTCTTACTTGGAAAACAAACGGAATCGTTCTAAAAATGGATTCTTCAATGCCTGAGCGAACTCGGACCGCAAGAGTGAGGCCCACGAGAACGAGAGAGCTCATTGTAATTCGTAGTGCGCCTGTGCCACAAAGAATGCTACGAAAGAAATGTGAATTGCAAGAAATAGCCATACCATCCTCTGTTCTGTGCCATGCAGACGATTAATAATGAACCGTGACTCTATAGTATTAGGTTTTACATTCAATTTAAAATGTTCAATTTTCAATTTCAATATATTTATTAAATATAAATAAGCATATTAATGGCTACATACGTAGCCTGCTATTTAAGTTTCTAGCCTAACTATGAAAAACACAACTTAGGCGTTCTATGGTTTTATTATTTTTAAAAACATTCTCCAGGAATAGAAACTCTTCTTTGGAACTTTTAAACCTTTTTTCACAGCACTTTTGGCACTCAGAAAAAGTATCTATAAATCAGGCCTTAATCAGCGTTTTTTTTTGCTTTTAAACATCCATACCGTTGATTATTGATTTTTTTTCGATTTAATATTTATACATTCATGATTCGTAACCTGATGATGCTAACACATCTTTTAAAGCACAACGATCGTATATTTTGAAAATTTTATTTTTTTTTATTGTGTGGGATTCCCATGCTACCACACCTTTTTTACCACGAAGTGATCATGGAAAACCTTATTAATGGTCGTCTCCTAATGCCCTAAGATACCTCAATCTCACAGAATGTGACATGACGATCCTGCTCAATCATTTCGCGCACAGCATCGATATTTTTTCATCGCGTCCACTTGCAATCCAAAATGGCCCAGACTTACCGTGCATGGAAAACGGAAATTGCAAAAAGCGAAGGCATGTGCGTGTGCTCATGTGTGGCAGTATGCTGTCGACATTGGGAATGCCAGCGCCAAATCGTTCGCTGCACGATGCTATGATTGAGATGAGCTGGCCGAAGGAGGCCGAACAGATGTCCTGCTGTTTAATGCGGATCAGAAGGATGTGTACGATTCGCTTATGAAGGTTGTTGAGGAGGGAACGGGATGCTCCCGTTGCATCTCTCGATGCTCCCGGTGGGACAGACGTCATTTCGTTGATTCTGGCAACAACTCGGTCAAGATCTCAAATTGCAACCTAGAGAATTGCTGCCACATGGTTGGAAGGCGGTCGAACTGCACATTCTGCTTAGAATCTGCCGATAAAAGTTCTCACGGTTATGGCATTGCACAAAATTATAATAATCTTGATTGGATTAGTGAACGGGCAATACAAGCAGCGAAAAATAAGGACGTCGGTAACCTGAATTCCATTATTCAAGATCAAATCGCTGGAGAGCTGCATTCATACAAATCCGTTGACAGCGTGACCGACGAGGATGAAGCTACAAATCATCCCATGGAATTTTTAAACTGGATTGTTGCGCCAGGAACTGCCGCATAATTTACTGCTGAAGGTGGGATCGATCAAAATCATTTTGCGGAATCTAAATCATCCGAAATTGTGCAACGGTACGCGGTTGTCCGTCAAGAAACTGATGAACGATTTGGTTCAAGCGACAATTATCAAGGGACAATTCAAGGGATAGTTAGTCCTTATCCCACGAATTCCGATTATTCCAACTAATCTTCCATTCCAATTCAAAAGGATTCAGTTCCCGTTCAATTGCCTTTTGCGATGACAATTAATAAATCGCAAGGCCAATCTTTGGAAGTCTGTGGTTTTTGTTTGTTTTTGCCCGGAAAAAAAATCTAAAAATATTGTTTCCATTCCATTCAAATATATAATATTGAAATTTGAACTATTTTTTTTATTATCAATCTGGAGTTTATCTGAAGGCGTTAAAATGGGGCGAGACAACGTTCGACGGGTCCGCTAGTATTTTATATTTTTAATTATTTTGCTACATCTGTCTACATGTAAATTCTACATTTCCTCCGCCTGCGCCACTGCACAGGGCAGAGTGTGTGCGAGCGAGGAAGAGAATAAGTAGCGACTGCTGTTCTGAGAGGGGCAGGGTAAGCCACTGAAAATTATTAATTCTGGCTATAATAATGTTCCGATCTGTACAAGATTCGTCAATCTGATAGATATGGCCATTATCTACGATACTCCATTTTCTCGAATCTTCAAAATTGTGGATGAGGGGTTATTAAGCTAGAGAGAGAGCCTTGCTGCTATTGCTTCTTTTACCTCAACTGCATTCAGCGTTGGGCCAAGATGCATCACGCCTTCATGCAGATGATGAAAGTGAAGGCGGAGCAGTAGAATGGCACTACCAACGCAATAAAACTGTTTCTGCAGCAAGGAAGAGAATCAACAGTAAGTGCGGGCACGATTGTAAGGCTCCTTTTTCATCCGGGTCCGTAGAACCAGTTCCATGTCAGCGTCTAAAAATAAGAATTATGGTAATATAAGTGCAACCACAGGAAGAGAAGAGGCACACTTTGTTTCAACTCACTTTACATATCCATATCCAAATCAGCTGCTTCTTCTCCGTTCTCCTTTCTGTCATATGGCCAGACTATTTTTTAAATTTTACATGTCTTTAAAGTATTAACATATTTTTTCCCTGCAAGAGAATATTATTATAAATAATGTTTATTAATATATTCATAATGATACCTCTCAATGCACAATTGAATGTTTCGGGGAAAATTGTTTCCCAGTCCGTGATTTCCTTTGGGAATACGAGACCACCTTATATAATTGCATCATAGTCTCTAGGACACTTCGTGTGCATCTGTCTACGTAAAAGCATAAAAAAAAACTCTATTTAATGTAATTTAAAAAAAAGGTAAAAATCCCATATATTGGAAAATAGCTGAGCGAAATTAGTAGAGAAAGTGTCTGCTTCTACTAAATCCAATCAATGTTTTAAACAAAAATATAAAGCTATGTTTTTTTAGAAGCGGTTCGGGACATTTTAGGAGAAAGATGTGCGCGAAAACAATGAGGTGTTTTTTAAGGAAAGTTTTGTCGGCATAGCATTGTATACCTTCGGCTCTTCTTCTAAACTTAGAACAGTCGGAACAGTCAAAAATAAGGTCAGCATATACTAGAAAAGAATCCGAATGTAATTGCTGATATGAGAACAAAAAACCAAATGAAATATTTTAATAATGAAGACAAATAGAATCTAATTAATGCAGCATTATATAAATGACAATTATATATATGGTATAATTTATTATTTTTATTAGTTTTCATAACTATAAAACAAATATTGTTTTCAAAACATTTCGTCTTCACGGTGATCGGTACGGAAGGCGTCCGTGCTGCTGATTGTCAGACACATTACTTTGCCAATAAAATATTGGGAAGCCCATGATATGCCTGGGGAAAAGCGGATGTCTGAGCAGTGTAACCGTTCGGAATGCAGTGCACACCTCTGGTCACACCACTGGCCGCTAGAAGAATATACATATGACATTTGTTTGCTAGCAAACAGTTTTTGGATCTGAAAACTAGGCTTTAAAAAAAAAAAGCAGGTTAATACCAGAAAAGCAGCCGATGGTATTGGATGGTATTTTTTTAGGCCCCAGCTAAATATACAAAATTTCTATTTTCCGTCGCGATTGCCTTCAGCAATTTTTAATATGTCGCCCTTTCGGTGGAACAATCCTATATTTTACTAGGGTCTAGCAAAATTCCATCGGCTGCTTTTCTAGTATTCGGATTCTTCTTCAATATTGATCTTGCATTAGCGTTTGGTCTGCCGCCGCTTACAACATTACCGCTCGTTTCTTCTTAGCTTGGCACTAGTCATCATGTGCTCCAACCATTACTTGTCAACCCTTCGCCTAATGGATCCCACCAATAAAGAAAAGTCATTTTGGTGGTCAATCTTTCCTATTTCTACACTCTGCTAGCGCACAGCAGAGCCCTTACGTAGAGATTGGAGATTTGGGATTTGAGATTTCCATCCTTTTTGGGTTTCGGGAATGGCGGGATAATTTAAACCTGAAGATCCGAACGGAATCCAACATAAGTTATTAGATAATTTGCCCGCTAGTGGAATCGGTGCGAATCGAGTTATATCAGCTTTTAGCTGATTTGATGTTGCCTTTCTTATTTAATTAATATAATACTATGTATGAACATTTGCAAGGTAACTTCTGAGAAGTGTGTTCCGTTCCACACCAAAAAGCATTTTATCGACGCTTTGCTAAAAAAGCTTTTTTTAACTTGCATATACCTGAAACTCTTATATGATTCGAAAAAAAGATAACGCATATTCACATGTGTGTGGAACACACACCACAGTTTCCAGGAATCTTTATACGGTAGGTAGGGCCATCTGAATTTAGTTCTTAAAACGACCATGCGCACTAAGTTCGTATACGAGCTTTTGCGTATATTACCGGACTCTAACTCTTATAATAAAAAATATGTATTCAATTTGTTTCCATTGACATAAGTAGCTGGCTATCAACATTTACTAACATATTGTATTAGAAATAACGTTGTTCTGAATTAAAAATATGTAAACTATACCTATTCAATTGTTATTAACTTTGTTTTTGCTTCACATACCATATACTTGAAAGGAAAGTTTTAATTCGTTGAACGGTTTAATACTCTAGCGGAAACACACGTCCATAAATACATACATGCGAGTAAATACGTACTATATGTATGTATGCATATGGAACGTATATATGTATATGGAATATTATGTTTTACATATCTTTGTGGCTCTCTTGATTTTCATAGACGTTCTTCTCTTCTGAGCCTTTATAGTGTTGTCAACCCTAAAGTGAAAACACCCTATACATATACATAAAAACGAAAAATAACCAAAGTGCTTAACGTAAAAAAAAACTGTCAAAAATATTAACAATCTATTTAACAAAAAAAAAAATGACTTAATTCCAGTCAAGTTCCTAAAAAAAATAATATCAAACCACAAGTTTTAAGTAATGCTTCAATATTTAAAAATTTGAATTGAACAGTTTCCATCCATTCCCTCATCCGACCCATGTCCTATGTATACCATTAATTTCGAAAATGTATATATATATGTCTGCATTAAAGTTATATATTTCCAACATTCGCATGTTTTAGTAAACACAAAAGTCGGCAGTTTTCAGTAATGAATTTTATTAATCCCCAATATATAGATACATATGAAATGTACACACTTAATGTATACATAGATCAATATATGGATATGCTAAGTGTAAATCATCTGGAGTTGTTCAAGCATTGTTTAAGCTTGCATAATCATATTTCGGATAACTCATTCTGCCATTGAATATGTGTATGTACATACATATGTAGTATGTTTATATGTGTATCACAAGTGGAAATATATGTTTTCATGATTAATAAGGACATCAGACCGTTTGTGACTATTTTCTTATTGCAGTATGGCAAGCATAATATTAATAGCATGCCTTGCTATATTGGGACTAATCATTGCAATAGCTTTGTTTCTGGCGGGTGGGTATTTGTGGTGGAGACACAAAAGATCGCAGTTGCAGTTTATTGAGCCCAATGAAGACGAAGAGTCTAGTAGCTACAGTCTAAGGTGAGTAGTATCACGCCATTTATTTTATTTTTTATTATATTTCTGCAGGGATTCCACAAAGACTTACTAAAGAATATATATACAATATTCACAACTAGCCTTCGTTAATAGTATTATTTTCTTACTATAGTTTGCAAAAGTAAACATTTCTGATAGCAAATTTGTTTAGTGTTTAAAAGAAATGAACCATTCAATCCCAATACTATATTTGATATTAAATGTACAGAGCTGCTCAGGACATCGATTCCGGAAATCCGCCTAGTAAACCACAAGTGCCGGTGGCGCAAACGATTACAACTCCCCTTCAAAATAACATCAATCGGAAATTGAATGGATTCTTAAGCCTTAGAACTCCCCTAATTGGGTATGTAGCTGTTTGTATATTCAATGCTTTTATCGATTTCAAAGACCGAATATGATTATTACCGCAGGTATTCTAAATTTATTTAAAATTCATATTTTTTAGTGGCTCGTCACCTGCACAAGCCAAAGCACAAAATGCTTCTACAGGGGGGAATACAAATGATGGTACCTCAAAAGATTCTGCGGTAAGCATAAGTCAAACTGTCTCTTTGTAAAATTGAATAAGCTATTATTTCTTAATAATTATACACTAATTGTCAAACAGAAAAAACAGAACAAAGGTCAAAAACCGCACATCAGTCTCAGTTATTAAATATATACACTTCTCTCCATCTTAGAATAAAAGTATTTCCATGACAGACATGTACCTGGACAGCACGGACTCCAGTGAAAATGTCGGGCAAATACATTTCTCTTTGGAATATGATTTTCAAAATACAACATTAATTTTAAAAGTTCTTCAAGGAAAAGAACTACCAGCTAAAGATTTAAGTGGGACTTCGGACCCATATGTTCGTGTAACCTTGCTACCAGACAAGAAACACAGATTAGAAACTAAAATAAAACGACGAACTTTAAATCCGCGATGGAACGAAACATTTTATTTTGAGGGATTTCCGATACAAAAACTTCAGTCACGCGTGAGAATACTTTTATATTATCTTTCATTACCTGATCTTTAAATTAATACTAAAATAATATATCTACATTCAATTTATACAGGTACTACACTTACATGTTTTTGATTACGACCGGTTCTCCCGTGATGACTCTATAGGAGAAGTATTTCTTCCTTTATGCCAGGTAAACGTTTTGAATTTATCTCAATTTAAAGTCGCACCATATCGGACTACAATAGTATATATTTTGCTTTGTTTTTTTTTATTAAGCCATACCCACCCATACCGTTTTCATATTTGTAACTACATTTTTTCGCAAAACTCAGTATGATATATATATGTAAATGTTTGGGTGTATTGCGTAAGAACGGTCATAGCCGCAGCCTGTTTCTAAGATTTAGATTTCAAAGTACTATTAAATTCGTTAGACCAACATACGTGATATTCTTAGGTTGATTTTGCCGGTAAGCAGTCATTTTGGAAGGCATTAAAACCACCAGCAAAGGATAAATGTGGAGAACTTCTGTCTTCGCTTTGCTATCACCCCTCGAACTCGATTTTGACGTTAACATTAATTAAAGCGAGGAACCTAAAAGCGAAGGATATAAACGGAAAATCTGGTAAGAATTCGTCTCGCGCACATTTTAAATATAATATAAAATAAAAACATTTCTGTCAAACATTTTTTGATAGATATCAACTTTGTTTTATAATTACATCCCTCCTTTGACGTGATCTTTAACCATTTTATTTTGAATTAACTTTAGACCCCTATGTGAAGGTGTGGCTTCAGTTTGGTGACAAGCGAGTAGAGAAAAGAAAAACGCCTATATTTACATGTACATTAAATCCAGTGTTTAATGAATCATTCAGCTTCAACGTTCCATGGGAAAAAATAAGAGAATGCTCTTTGGATGTTATGGTGATGGATTTTGATAACATTGGGCGGAATGAGTTAATAGGACGAATTCTATTAGCCGGTAAGAACAACTAATTATTATAGTTCAGTGTATAATATTAATACATTATTGTTTTCCGACTATTATTGATATATGAACAATATTATGTATATATATTCATAGGAAAAAATGGTTCTGGTGCGTCGGAAACTAAACATTGGCAGGACATGATTTCAAAGCCCAGACAAACTGTAGTACAATGGCATCGCTTAAAACCTGAGTAAATTTAAGATTTAACTTTCAATTTGAGAATATGATAACAACAGTGTATGCATGCACATACATATGTACATGGATTTATACATACCATTATCATACCATGCAAACACACACAATTAGCAGTATTTAATACAGTCTGCACAAAACATAAGTATAAACGCATTGCACATTGGTTGGATATTTAAAATTTAATACCGAGCGAACGAATACGGATACTACAGAAAATAAATCTAACTTCACTTATTGCTCTGAGGTTTCAAAGCCTCAAAAACCTCTCTGAGCAATACTTAGTTTTATGATTACTTGCCTAGGTAGATATATGTACAAATATACGAGTATTTGTATTTGTGCGTGCATGTACTTACATACATATACCCATCTGGGTTCTGATTATGGTTTTTGGATATCAAGGTTCGTTGAATTGTCTTTAAATTTCTATTCATTTTCAATTTCATGAAAAAGAACGCGGCTAAAATCCATTCGAACTGAATTTTTCGTTGAACAAATGGGCATAGTAGTAATTTGTCTTAGCTTGATTAGCTAAATAAATTATTGGTAGCAATAATAATAATAATTGTATCAGATTTATTTTATCGGCGAAGCGTGTTTAATATAATGTAATCAAATAGACAACCCACAAAAACTAAAAGAAATATATTAAAATGTATATAATACAATTGAATTGTTAAATATATTAGATTAAAATAATCTAATAAACTCGTAAAACGACATTGTTACAAGTTACATAAAGCGAATTGTTGTTTCTTTTACAATAAAAGAATATAAAAGTACGATAAAGGTCATATTAATTTTAAATATAGTTTTATCACAAAGTATAAAGTATGATAGGGCTATAGGTTATAGACATTATTTGATTAGAAAAATGAATGCATTAACAGAATACAAATTGAAAATTTTTAATAGTAACTATAAAAAATTAGCCAACCATTGCCGGAACAAGCGTCTACTGCGAAAAAGTGCAAAAATAAAATGACATTTAAATTAAGAATTAACAATAAAGAGATTTATAATTGATGCATTGAAACTGAGTTTGAAAAACGAAAAATCGAAAATACAACCCACCTTGAAATTACATATTTGTTATATACCTGTTATAATATTATTAAACTAATTTATGAATATTACATAGCTGCAAATAAAGCATTTTAAACTTAAATTTTTGATATTTAATGATAACGGGTTTTAATGTTGAATTGTGGGAAATCGCAATATATGTATGTACATACAAATGTGCTTAGTACATACTGTAAGAGTAGTTTCGCTGACGTCACATATGTACATTATATATGTCAGGATGGCAAGCTGAGTTTATATAACACAGACTTATGGCTCTTTTATGAGAAGAAAATTAATTAATTAAATAAGTGAAAATACAAAAAAAAAATTATATTAGAGAAGTTATCCAGCTCCATACATACATACAGAATGTATGTACATGCATACATACGAGGTACATATTAAATATAAATTTTAAAAGTTCATAACAAGCAAATATAAATGGCAGAAAAGAAATCAAATGAAAATTCTTTGGAAAAAATATTATCCTTGTTGAATATGAATTGGAAAGCCCCATATTCACCAAAAAATATGGCAATAATCGAGCGTGCGGTTTTAAAGATATAAGCCAAAATATTACCCAAAATTGCGTTACGTATAACAGAAGAGGTTTGCGAGGCTAGGGTACAAAATGGCAACACTCTGCGAATTGGGTATGTCTATCTGTAAACAAATTTTGTGTGCATGTAAATGAAATATGTAGTGCTAGTTTCAAAGTTACTTAATGTAAAAACCTTCCCTGTTTTTTTATACAAGCCGGTGGAGGCATCTGACGAACGTTACTGGCGTGACGTTACCAAATTCCGCGATAAAAAAAGCCTAAAAAAATATTTTGTTAGCCAAGGAACGAAGGGTCAGCAGTGATGCCAGTGGTGAACTCTGAAATCCGCGATTTCAGAATTGATCGACAAAAGACCGACTGAAAACCATGTTAAACGCATTTGCATCGAGTTCCTTGTGTATTTATTAAATATCTGTGATATTGGTATTTAATATCTGCAGGTGCGCCAGCTGCTCAGCCTCATATACGAGTGCGAAGTGTGCCGCAACATGTTCCGCAGTCTTGCGAATTTCATCAGCCAAGCGGGTCTTCTGCTGTGAGTGCTTGTGAGTGATCACAGCCCAGCAGAATGGATACACATTGAGTGCGCAGTAAAGACAATATCGCATTACCATATTTCTGGTTAAAATCGTGTGAATCATCATTAAATTCGCTTACAGGACCACAACTCCACCATCATACAAACGGGCAATGCAGTCGTGTACGACTTGGCTGCATCCTTTCTAAAATCAAGTCAGTATACAAATATGTGAGGTTATGCTCTATGTACAATTCTAAAAATGTCATCTCCATCTAAAATGTATTTTCTACATCTCCTCCGCTAGCGGCCGCTCGCGCCCTGAACGAGGCAGAGTGTGGGAGCGAGAAAGAGAATGAGTAGCGTGGTCTCGTGCTAGAGGAGGTGGGGGAAGCAACTGAAAATTAATTTCTTTATTCTGGCTATAATTATGATCCGATCCGATTATGATCTGAATCAGAGATTCAGCAATCTGGTAGATATGATCATTCTCTACGATCCTGCATTGGCCGTTTTCTCGTATCTTCGAAATTTTGCTTGCCACAGATTTTCGTCCTTTGTTGCGTATAGAGATAGAGTTTGGTTGGTGCGGTATGGGAAGAGAAAGAATAAGAAAATTAAGGGGGTGCGTGTGAGAGTTTGAGAAAGAAGAAGAGGAACAGGAATTAAAAGATAAGGGGGGTGTGTCCGTAAGTTAGTGATAGAAGAAGAAGAGGTACAGAAAATAATAGAGAGATACGGGTTTTCCCGTCGCCGCCCGATATTTTATTTTATGTGCTTCTTCTGAGTCAGGGGGAAGAAGAGGAAGGCGGAGATGGGGGATGTGTTAGAGAAAGAGACATTTTTGGCGTTATGTCATTGCTACTACTTCTAATACCATAACACGGATGACAGTATCAATGACATCAATGGTATACATTTTTTTGTTGCCAAAACACTTCCTTGTTTATCATTCATTTCAGTATCAAAGCAAAATTATGATGTGTTAATAAGGCGCAATGATCAGAAGAATGATTATGTGGGTTGTGTGAGCTTTGCCATTCTGAAAAGCTAATTGATGCAGCTATAAATTATACCCAAAGACTGAGATTTCAGCTTACCGTTTGGGAAATATTAGGCTTTCAAATGCAAAAACTATGATTTATGTGCGGTACTGAGCAGTCTCAGTAACTTACAAAAAATCTGTAGTTGACCCTGGACAGACAGTTTATTGAAAATTGATAAAGTAATGAAAGGTACTTTTTCGGTTGCTGTCGCTATTCCCCAGTCATATCCTTTTGACATCGTCTCCTTTTCTAGTATTAATAAGTAGTTCTTTGCCCCTTTTTTTCTATAAATTGTTTTACTTTTCAGAGACAAGTTTGCTGGCTTGGCGGCTGTGTAAGCTAGAAAACATAATTTTGTCTCAAGTAAAGCCTCAGACTTTCGACAGTAGACGTGTCTAGAGACGCCTACGAACTCTAATATTGTCTCTCATGCCATCTCTCTCTTCGCATCACAGTTAGCTAAGTCTAATGCCATAACACCATTTTCGTTTTCATACGAATATCATCCCTGTTTCTGTTGTCTAATAGCCTTTTCACACTGGTGACCATCCACCATCCAGTTGTTTAAAGTTAATAAAATGCACTTCTTCGGCTGCGGTCGCTCTTCCCCAGGCATATCCTGGGCTCCCCAATATTTTATTGTGTAATGTGTCTGACTATCAGCAGCAGCAGATGGCGACGCCTCCCGTGCCGACCACCGTGAAGACAAACTGTTTTGAAAACAATATTTGTCTTATATTTATGAAAATTAATAAAAATAATATATATATAATATACATATAATGCTGCATTAATTAGATTCTATTTGTCTATTATATTTTTGCCGCAAAGAATTTCTTATCGGTTTCATACGAATATCAAGCCTGATTCTGTTCGCGAGGTGTTTTTTTGGATCTGAGTACTAGGATTAAACAATGACAGACAGAAAAATGGGAAAAACAACAACACACAGTCCATCAGCTGTTTCCGATTTTTCTTTTAGAATCATTAAAACTTGAAGAAAAAGAAAATGTTATATGTAATATGATGTATGCATTTGCTTCTTCCTATGCATTATTATTTTACAGCCATTAGAAAAACAACAAGCAGCACTTTGAAGTGGTCTGCTAAAATGAGGAATATTTTGATTTATATTTGGCAGGACAGTATTAAGGAGTTTGCAGGGACCTCGGAAGAAATCCCATGTTTATATGGATATCCATGTTTGTGCCAACATTGACGAGGAGGAGATATTAGAACAGATATCTGTTTCGAAAACACTGAAGAGTGGTCATTTGTGACTGCTACTAAATCCAATCTATGTTTTAAATATAAATATGTATATGTATGTGCTATTGTACAGTCACTTTGCTAGACTTTAATGTTAATCCTAATGAATTAAGTTGAATTCAACTTGGCTAACAGCTATGTTTGTTTAGAAGCGGTTCGGGAGATTTTGGGCAGAAAAAGTTACCCGAAAACAAAAAGGCGTTTTTTAAGGAAAGTTTTGTATCGCGTTGTATACTTTGGGCTCTTTTTCTGAGTACAGAACAGTCGGAAGGCTCCCAGCCAACAGCGAGTGCAATATGCTACATGAGTTTTGCAGAGCTTTTATAAAAGAATTCCCAGAAGTGAAATAGTCCACTAACTATTTAACTTCCGAGTTTTTGAGCCTGAGACAATTCTGACATATCATTGCTTTTTGTTCTATTTTCCTGTCTGTCATTGCTTACATTTTCGCAGTAAATTTCACTTTTTCGTTGCATTTGAAATGTGTTGAATAAATATCACATAGAATCGTGCGATTCTGGAACATCCCAGATGGATGGTGGAATAACTCGGAAATTTTCGGAACGGCAAAACCTTACGGGCCATTTCCAAAATGGATGGTGGATGGTCGCCTGTGGGAATAGACTATAATAGCCTTTTCCCACACAGCACATCTATGAGGAACGGTGGAAATTTCTGACAGATGTGAAACTCCGATTCCCGCTGGCCTCATCTACCATCCACCATCTATGAAAAATAGCTGATGCACACAATTTGGTGCAGCGGAAAATTTGTTTCTTTTATAACTTGAAATGAATATTAATAATATTGCAATGGTTGTGAATTTAATTCAGCACCAAAATATACTCTTGCACAATCTAATCATGTTGCTGGACATGGATGATGATAATAATGTGCTCAACATTGACTAGGAGAATTTATTGGAATGGATTTGATTTGAAAACATTGAAGTGAACACAAGTGACCATGTAACTGCTTCTACTAAATTCAATCAATGTTTTAAATACAATTATATATTCTGTTTTTTTAAAAAGCGGTTTGCGATTCCAAAGAGGCGTTTTTTAAGGAAAGTTTTGTATAGCCATAGCATTGTATATTGAGACAATTCTGACATATCAGATGTTTTTTTGTTGTTTTTACCATTTTCCTGTGTGTCATTGTTTACATTTTCGTAGCGAATTCCGATTTTTTGTTGTGAATGTAAAATATTTATGGTTGCATTTGACAATTATCGAAAAAATACCGCACAGAAACGTGCGAATTAGGAACATCCCAGATGGATAGTGGAATAACTGGGAAATTTTCGGAACGGCAAAACATTACCACTAATACTCTCTGCACACAGAGTCCATCCTGGGGGAACGGTGGGAATTTTTGAAAGATATGAAACACCGATTCACATTGACACCATCCACCATCCATGAGAAACAGCTGTTGCTCACAATTGCGTGCGGTGAAAATTTGTTTACTTTAATTAAAATGAATATAAATAACATTTCAATGGTCGTGAATGTGATTCAGCAGCAAAACATATTGTTGCACAAGCTAATCATGTTTTTGGACATGGACGATGATGATGAGGATAACTTTGACGAGGAGGAGATAATAGAATGGATATCTGTTTTGAAAACACTGAAGCCCGGAAGGTTGTGGTCATTTGTGACTGCTTATACTAAATCCAATCAATGTTTTAAATAAAAATATAAATTATATGTGTGTTGAGAAGCAGTTTGGGACATTTTGGGAGAAAGATGTACCCAAAAACAACGAGGCGTTTTTAAAGCTAAGTTATGTACAGCCGTATACTTTGGGCTCTTTGTTTTGAGTAAAGAATAGTCGGAAGGCTGTCAGCCTATAGCGTGTGCAATATCCTGCTTGAGTTTTGCAGAGCATTCATAAATGAGAGAATTCCAGAGGATAGTCCACAAACAGAGTTGTGTATCTGAGACAATTTTGACATATCAGATGTTTTTTTGTTGTTTTTTTTACCATTTTCCTGTCTGTCATTGTTTACATTTTCGTAGTGAATTCCGATTTTTTGTTGTGAATGTCAAATATTTATTGTTGCATTTGACAATTATCGAAAAAATACCGCACTGAAACGTGAGAATTAGGAACATCCCAGATGGATGGTGGAATAACTGGGAAGTTTTCGGAACGGCAAAACCTTACGGACCATCCCAGAAATGGATGGTGGATGGTCCCCAGTGTGAAAAGGCTATAACCATACAGTATATAGATGTGCCAGTTCATACAACGAAAGGGGCGCAAGCTGAGTGTTCTGTCCCGGCTCCCAGCGCTTCGGCTCTGTGAGGCTGAGACACTCGGGTCGGGAGCCATGCCATTCGGGTCGGGAGCTGGGCCGTTCGGCATGTATGACTCATGTCGGGAAGCGAAAGCAAGCTGAGAATTGCAAATGTATATTATACTGTATGGTTAGTGACATTACGGACCATCCATTTCGGGGATGGTCCGTAATGTTTTGGTGGCCTGTTGGAATAGGCTATAAGACTCAACTACATATGGAATTTATAACTTTGCAATCAATGTTTGAACATGGTTGATAAAAATATAACTATTTGAACTCTTTCGGGAATATCCTAATTTGTTTTTTTAATGTACTTATACAAATGGCAGCGTATCTCGCTGCGCTCTCTGTGAGCACCCAATAAGACACTGGACAGGCTAGCCAATAACGTGCAAAAAAAAGACCCTTATCTATACATATAAAAATATTTTGTCACGGTGTTTGTGGATGAACTCCTCCCAAAGGGCTCAACCTATTTTCATGAAATTTTTGCCGTAAATTTTTGGCAGGTCGTAAAATTTGTGATCTTTTTATTACCATCCATTAATTTTTATCTCGATTTTAGTTTTATTGGATCGAGTAGTGCTCTGATTTAGTTGTCAGTGTGTTTTGTGACATAATCTCGATATAATATCTTTCTTTGTGTTTGTTACGTTTGTTTGGGAATTTTATTCATTTCTAATTGAGCTAACTTGAAAAATTCAATCAAGGGGGTCCCAATTTCACCGTCGAATTAATCATGCAACATTAATGCAACATAATAGAGCATAACAGTTGGAAACAGTCCAAAAAGTCAGGTATCGCACTTGCATGAATCTAAATTACAAGAGGTATGAAATGAATAAAGACAATTGGAACGGAGACGTGGGCGCCGCTACATAATTGACAATATCAGAGAAATTGACCGACAACGCCAATAAGTGCATAGAGCATTTACATCCGCTTCGTTCCTTCGTCTCGCATTCGCAAACGAGCTAGATATTGAATATTCCGCACATCAGAAAGTGTTGATTGGTGTACAAATATAGACATGTGTCAAATGGTATGTGTTGGCAATCAGGAAAATTGCAACTACCTCAACCCAAGACACCCCTGGAACCATTCATCAGCTTGCGTATCGGCACGGATCCAGATTTAAATATCTTTCTGAAGTCCATTCGCAAATTCAATTCACACTTTTAAATGACATCGTTCGGAGCAACAGAATAGGACAAGTGTACCACAGAGTAGGCTCGTTGCTTCCAATGCCAAACGAAGACGTCAATAGACAAATATACATCATGGGTGGTGAGGACCAAAATCGCGTAGATGCACGTTGCGGTTACCATAACCTCAATTCGGCAATATCCAGGCGTATAAAACTGGACGAATTACTTAATCAGCACAATGAATTATTGAAATTATTCATTAAACAAAAATTGAAGTCTTTAATGAGATTCATTATTCATGTATTATTGAATGGCAAAAACGAGGATTACCTCATGCACACATTTTAATTTGGTTAGTCGACAAAATACTCCCTGATTGAATAGATAGATCCTCAAATTTCAGATCCGTCTACTGATCAACTACTGATCGATATAATTACCACAAACATGATTTATGGCCTATGGCCCATGCGGTGATATGAATACAATACAATACAATTAAAGAAGAAATATTGATAATGGTGTACAAAACATTCATGATAAAAATCAAAAACGTAGACATTGACATTGGGCGCATTCACCAGGACAACTTGATCAGCGATCAGTGATTAATGTCGTCCATCATGTTTTGAGTTCTGGTGAACGCGTATGATCCATACTTTACTATAGCGACATTGCGAATACAATCGGCTCAGAACCTATCGATATTGGCTTAGAAGTTTCGCGACTCGAAACAAAAAACAGTCACGTAAAATTTGAATATTTGTTCGTAATTCGGAATTTGAGCCGAATTCATGATTTTTTATTAATTTGGTTTTGTTTATTTCTTTTTCGTTGCGATTTAGTTCATACTTGAAGAAATCCATCACTGATGGCTCATCGAGTTGTCCTGGTGAACGCGCCCATTGACAATCGATCGGTATTCTTGCAGTTCTTGAGTTTTGCAGCTAAGTGAAATTTATCAAATACAATTGCGAGTATCTGAATAAAGGCAGCAATATGGCATCAAATTCAAAATGCTGATGTTATTGTCCCTAATATTACGATTAAATGATAATAATACGAGATTATGTTTTTCATGGATATGGATATTTTAATAAAGTTTTATAAAATGATTTAGAAGACTTAGGGGGCTGTCCGACGTGCGAAGCGATTGAGCAAGGGGCTTGCCTTGGGCTTATCTATGTCTTTTTAGAATTTTAATACTAATCTAATTTTGATTTATTAATTTAGAATCACGCGCTATATCTATTTATATAAGTCAATAGTCAATCATATATTAAGTGGTTTCAGAAAGGCGGGTAATGGATTAAAACTATTAATTTTTTAGAGTTTTTGGTGTTTATGGATATTAATTTCTAATCAGTTACTTGTCCAAACTAAAATCGCTTTCAGGAATACCCTTACACTTACCAAAATAAAATATCGATACTATCGATTTACATTTACACAACCCTAATCCTAAATGATGACAAATCACATTTGCGCGACCAAACCACCAAAAAAAAAAAAGGAGAATAATACAGCTACATATGCAAATGTACATTTAACTGCACTTTTATATCTAACGAGTTTTTATTAAAGATAAAAAATGATTATCACCGTAAAAAATCTGCAGCAGCAAACCTTTACAATTGAGTTTGACCCGGAAAAAACGGTGAGTTGAGTGGTATTTCCTCAGTATATGCTCGCGAAACGTAAATATGTACATGTAGTGTAAGCCTACACATGTATGTACATACATAGTATGTGCATATGCATGTGCATTTATGAATAAAGTTTAATTTAATTTCCAAAAACATCTTTATAGGTTTTGGAACTCAAAAAGAAAATATTTGACGAGCGCGGAGTAGAGTACGTTGCGGAGAAGCAAAAACTTATCTATGCAGGAGTCATACTTATGGATGACCGTACAATTGCCTCGTACAAAATTGATGAAAAAAAGTTTATAGTAGTAATGTTAACACGCGATACAGCTGCTTCGACGGTTGCATCTTCAACTTCTGATTCTCAGCAAAAACGGACAACCGAAAGTGAGGGAAAAGTTTTGGGCCTTAATGCAAGTAAAGAAAAAAGTATCGAAAAACCTATAAGCACAAGTGGATCTACTCCCATATCTGGGGCTGTAGAGGCTGTGCCTTCTGTGTCCGTCTCGACAACAGGAACAGAAATTCAAAGACCCTATTCTAGTAGCGATTTAGTTGGAGAGCTGGCTAATGCTTCATTGCAAACGCGCGCCGAGTCAAATTTACTAATGGGAGAAGAATACAATCAAACTGTTTTATCGATGGTAGAGATGGGCTACCCACGCGACCAAGTGGAACGTGCAATGGGCGCCAGCTTTAACAACCCTGAGCGGGCTGTGGAGTACCTCATTAATGGCATACCCGCCGAGGAAGAAAGCCTATTTAATGCCGGCGACGAGACAAATAACCCAAGCCTAAGAGCTCCTGGATCCCAACCTGTATCAGAAGCAGCTGTCGATCTTCCAGCCCAATCCACTGGTAACTTAATTTTGAAATATAAGCTAGCTGAGTAAAACTTTGTAATTTATTTACTTCTTTATTGTAGATCCGTTTGAGTTTTTGCGTAGCCAGCCACAATTTCTTCAGATGCGCTCGCTAATATATCAAAATCCTCACCTTTTACATGCTGTTTTGCAGCAGGTAAGTTCATGAATAAAAAGAATATGAATGTTTTAGTTACTCTTCGAACTTAGATTGGTCAAACGAACCCAGCTCTTTTACAACTAATTTCGGAGAACCAGGATGCGTTTCTTAATATGCTAAACCAACCAATTGAGGGTGAATCCGCATCTGGCGATAACACTCAACGGTCTACGCCTCCTCGCATACAGTCTTTTCCAACGCGTACAGAAAGCTTGCCCTCATCAGCAACAGAAGAAGGAGCAGGGGCCAACCAACGGTCATCTGCTGGCGGCAATGATGCAGATGTCTCCGAACGGGAAGTCACGGAACAGTCTGCCGGTATTGCAACCATTCGTCTAAATGCCCAAGATCAAGATGCTATAGAACGGGTATACAACATTTTCATAATACATATATATTTATTACAATTTAAATTTAATATATCCATAGCTGAAAGCACTCGGATTCCCAGAAGCACTTGTACTGCAAGCTTATTTTGCCTGCGAAAAAGATGAAGAACTAGCAGCAAATTTCTTACTTTCATCCAGCTTCGATGACTGAGTCGGCCAAATGTAAAAAGTTATATATAAAACCTACCTATAAACCGAAATCGTTACTAATAAATTTAGAGGTTAATAAAAATCACGAGATGTGCTAAGCCGCGTAAAAATGCCAAAGTCCTTCATGTTTAGATCCTTTCAGTTTTATCCTGTTTTTATATTTGTGTACTCGCTACTCAAATAGTAGGTACTAGGGGAAAATCTCGTTAAGGTATGTAACAGACATAAAAATATCTCTTCCGATCCATACATTTTTGTAGAATTTTGTTTTTGATTCGTCTTTATTGACGCCTAGACCACAGAGCAACCGGACACACAATCAAGTGTATTTCAATTTACAAAGGTTATATATAATTATAGCCAGGATAAAGAAAATAACTTTCGCAGCACGAAAGACACTCGCCGTCTCTGTTCCTGTGTGCCCTACAAGTTAAGTATGAGTGCTCATGTCCGACATTTAGTCAAAACGTATTAGTAAAAATAAAGGTATACAGTATTAGTAAAAGTACTGGGTACCCGCACGTTCAGACTTTTTTTTATTTATAGATTTTGTGATTTCCAAGTAGTTTTCGCATCTTTTAAAAAACTCACAATAAAAATCTAAATTGATATAAAACATGTATAATTCGATTTAACCAAATGCCAATGCTCTTTCTTTTTTCTGATTCTATCAATTTTAATCATTGCTCTTGAAAACCGAATTAAAATGTTTCGAAATGTAACTTTTAAATTGTATGTACATATATGCACTAAAGATTAATAATTTAATAAACATTGGTGATACGAAACAGTACTGTAGGGACTCAATTATCCCAAACAAACACAGATTTTTATTAAATTTTAAACACGAAATAGTATGAATTGCATGTAAGCCCATAGATGCTACAAATATACTAACGCGCGAAAGACAGGAATGTTTCTGTGTGCGTGTGCTTATTCTAATGCTTATGTCCAAATGTTATGACAAGCGGTAGCAGCGCACCGCATATCATAATTACTAGCTCACTATATCGTAAAGCCTGTATACTATGACCCTGAGTGCTACTCGCGGCACCAATACCGTTATTTTCAATAGTGCCGACATCTCGAGATTCCTCTAATACCCGATACTCATACTGAGCGGAAGTGGTACCTTTATGATGGTGATGGCCACCTTGTGTGAGCTCTGGGAGAACGTGCACAGTGGCAACATACAAAAAAGTTCCGGCGGAAAACAGCATAGCTATCCCAGTAGCATTCACTGAATTCAAGGTCTCCTTCTGCTCCTGACCAATCCCGAAATACGTTAAAATCGTCAGAAGTGGGGCTGATAAGGAAAAAAGGGCCAAATGTCTGCGAATTTGTTGTCGCTCGACTTTCTCGTGCAGCAAAAAGCTAACCAAGCCAAATGCTGCAGGTGCCTTGTGTAGCATAATAGCTAGAAAGACTATTATTTCAACGTCTTGATGACTCGTCGTTGCAGCAGCACCCAACGCAATTCCATCAGCTACGCATCCAAGTATGTAAGAAATATGTAAGTAAGTAATGTAAGTTCGAAAAATAAGTATTAAAAGTAAGTAAGTACCTGCAGCATGTACCACTAATCCAAGAGTGAGGGTGGCAGTATTTTTCTCGTCATTTCCAATATTGCTCCTTCGTTGGGATACATCAACCAGCATCATGAATACAAAACCAAGTACGAGGGAAAGTCCTATAGTTTGTGAGTAGTCAGGCTTGGGACCTGGCGTCAAATCTGTCGTTCGTTCACTATCCATATACAATGAACGAATACCTTCTGGTATAATTACAGCTAAAGCAGTACCCACCAATAAACCAGCGCCAAGAACAGTGACACACTTCAACTTCTCCTAAATTTAGAGAATAGAATATTGTTTAATAAATCTACATTGTACATGCCTCTGCATATGTAAATAAAGACTGATGTACAATGCCTACCTCGCTTAATTTCATCAGCATTGGTATGCTTCCAGCCAGATAAGATCCAACTAGCATCACTATCACCAATAAAATAAGAATTACAGTCTCTTCCGCCATGCCAACATATGAATGGTTGTATTCCTAAAGCAAAACTTGCAAAATTATGTGTCCGCCATGCCAACACATCCATATATACAATATACAATATGTGGACACGACAAGCTGAGTTGCATTGAAATTCCTCGATTTTGATATTCGGTTTAATATTACTAGCAAGCCAAGACTCTCAGCGCAGAAAATATATTTTTCTTCGATTAACTAATCAATTTCCTATCAGATTTGCTAGTTAAAAGTACTCATTTTCATTTGAATTATTCATAAATAGGGTTTAATCAAAAAAGGAAATGGTTTTCAGGTGGAAAATTTAATTTTTTACATGGTAACTACACGCTGGCTACAATTACATATACTCGACACAGCGCTGTCGTACTCGATTGCTGCCCTGAATAAAGCGCTGCCAGAATATTATATAAATTTTGCTACATTTACATATATACGGTCACACCAGAACGCAAAATAAATAAATACTAGAAATGTGGGAATTATCTCTCAAATATACGGTCATACTTACGTATGCGCACAAAAAATACCGCACAGGGCCAAAAAAAATGCTAAACTTTTTTTTTTTTGTTTATATGGTGTACGTTTTTTTTTCAGTATTTTTTTTTCTGTTTTTCAAGTAAAATTTTTGTAATTTTCATATGGTATTTTTTCAACATTTTATAGGGAAAAAACAACAAAAGTATGTATTTGAAGTTCTTTTTAAGTTTTTAATGTTATTGAAATAAAGGAAACACTAGATCAAATCAAAAATATATTTTCGTGATAGTATCGGGCTCAAATAATTATTAATTATTTTTTTGTTGATATTTACTGGTTACTAACCTGATTAAATAGAGCTATTTTTTTTTCTCGGTTTCTAAGGTTTCTGAGGTTCCAGTCACACTCGACAAAACAAATCAAGTGAAATATTTATTTTTCCATATGTTAATATACTTTTGAAAATGACTACCAAACTCAACAATGAATCTCTTCATCGTTAATATTAATGATATGATTTAAAAAATTATCAATGGATATTTTTTTGTACTCAACGGACTTGTGAAGAAAAATATTCGGCACTATTTTCTTGTTTCATGGTCGCGCGAACATTTTTTTGGACTTTGCCCAAAAAACCACCCCAAATGTTTGCAGAAAATTTCGAAAGATTTGATTGGCTGAAAGTTGAAAACGCGTATTTTTTGGGTACAAAAAGCAAAAATATCTATTATTGGAGGAGGGTTTGGAGTGGATTTATATGGCCAAATGAAATTGGCGGACTCCCAAGATAAATATAAATGTACGATTCTCAAATTTAACAAGATCCCACTTCAATACCTAACTTTCTCTGATCACTAACATAACGTTTTTTAAAGACAGGAACGCTCATTTTTTAACCAAACAATTGTATATCAAATACATGTTAAACTTAAGCAAGTAGTAGGTAGCTCAAAATAATATTAATAATAGTCCCTGGAGGGAGGAAATTCTCCGAATCTCTTCAGCTTTTGCTGTGACATTCCCAGGCTACAAATTTTTGACGCACGGGACATTTTCGGACGGATTTTCTCCTCAATTAATTGGCTTGAAATGAAATAATCTTTTACCAATAATTACTGAAACTGTACCTAAATTTTAAACATTTTCATTGGTTGGTGCTTATTATTTTCAACGTAGATTCATTGTTGCGTTCCCGTAAAATGCATTTGATTTGTATGGGAAAATTTTCAGCAACATGGGAAAATGAATTAGCAGCATTGTTGTGCAACTTTGGCAAGAAATGAGCAACAATCTGCATACCTTGGGAAAATGGATATTATGGACTTTAGATATTGTTTGTAATTTCAGGCTCCAATTAATGCAGAAACTACTCAGTCTCTGTTTTAAAGATATTAACGAAATTTTGCAGCTCACGGGTTCCAATAATAGGTATCAGAACCAGGATAAATGTATATATAAAACACAAACATGTGCATTTATAGGAAAAAAACATGTCAATCTAGAATAAAATCATAAATAATGTTTCAATGGAGCTTGGAACAAAACATTTAACATCAATTAAAAGAAATAAGGTATACAAAAGTACATACGCATAGAAGAAACTTGGTTGACCAGCAACACTGACGTCACATTTAGCCAACATTTACGTTTTATGCTTTGGCCGTTTTTGTTTGAACCCTATTATGTAAACAATCCCATTAAAAATAGTTCTGAAAACTAGCCAATCCTAAACAAAATTCATTGAGGAATTGGATAAAATTATTTTTTTAGGGATGAGAGGGCCAACTATCTAGTAATATTAAACTGGATATCAAAATTTTGGAATTTATGTTTTAAATTTATGGTAATGGTATTTCTCGATACTGAAATGGTATTTAATGGTATTTATTTTTTGGCCGGATGGTACTATTTATCGTTATCGTCACGGATTTATTGTGCCCATTTTTGCGTTTTAAAGTGAGCTCCAATTGGATTTTTTAATTCCAATACCGTTTGTCCGCAATTGGGAAAAATCGAATTGGGAATTTCACATTAATGCATAAGGTAAATTGGATTTAAATTTTTTATTGTTCATTTGTACTTAAATATGTAATATACGTCCCTAAAGTCTTACCAGAAGTTTATGTTCACATCTTTTCGTACATGTGTGTGCGTTTATGCGCATAAATCCGGACGTATATACACATTTGTGAACACATATGTGTACATACATACATATGTATCTACAAAGAAGAATAAAGACTAAAGCGAATTGCAATTATTTTAGGAAAAGGGCATACAAATACAAATGGATGTGTGTATAATCATTTCGAAAATACCTACATAAATGAATCCAAATACTAAATTTACATACACACAATTTTTGTATTGACATAAAACTTGACATATCTTTAAATAAATTTCCTTTACGATATCAAATCAAAGGATAGAATAGAATGGGTAATAATTGCTTGAAAATGAACAGTTCTGATGACATTTCACTTTTGCGAGGCAGTGAAAGTCTACACGGGCAAAACAGCGCAGTGCCAATGTTTCAGGTAAGTAGACAAAAAATATTTGTATATGTATGTCCATGTAAATGGCTGAATTTTTTTTATTTTATTAGAATGAGCAGTACCAACAAATCTTTTATCCGACGACCTCCACTTCCATCGGCCATGCTCCAATAGCGGCGGGCCATTCACAACATTCCGAGGAGGACCAAGTAAAACTAGCAAAACGGATTGGTTTAATGCAACATTTGCCAATAGGAACATATGATGGGAGCTCGAAAAAATCACGAGAATGTGTTATTTGTATGGCCGAATTTTGTGTTGATGAAGCTGTTCGCTATCTTCCATGCATGCATATTTATCACGTCAATTGCATAGACGACTGGTTAATGAGAAGTCTCACATGTCCCAGTTGCTTAGAGCCGGTCGATGCTGCTTTGTTAACAAGCTATGAAACAACATAGCTCAACTGCAATATGCCACTGTCTGTTAGTCAATACAGTAGGCACTTTAAAACAGGCAAATACCATGAACATTTTTATTGTTAAACTCGTCATAGTAATCATTGATTAAAAAAGTTTCTTTATCTGTATTGTTACCGCTTGTGGGTATATATTATCATTTTACTATGGATTCAGTTGATATAAGTATATACAATAATAAGTTACATGTGTAAAAATTGTGAGATCAAAATTTATAAAATTATAAGTACTATACATATATGTATATTTAACATTGTTAATATTCAAACAATACTATTAAACACATAGAATAAACTATAGTAAGCAAAGCTAGTGTAAGACTATTATAAAATATACATACAACGGATCTGTACAATTCGTTCAGTTATTTAGGATGGATGGGTGTTTGGCACCCAAAATATAAATATATACTCTTAATTGCTTCTACATGTCGCGCGTTCAAGAAAACTAAAGTGTGTCTTGTAAAAATGTAATTGAAATGACTAACTTAGCGCGTTCATTTTCAGGGAGAATGGGTCGTCTTGGTAGATATGTAAATACATGGCGTGTAAATGACCAAAAATCATAGCAATTGTAATAATTCGCAAATAGCTGGTTGCGGGTCAGTTCATCTTCTGGAGAAAATGTAAAATAAAAAAAGGATATACATATCTTTTTGCTATGACCATTTATTTGGTAGAGAAGACACTTCGCAAGCTTAACGATGGTAAGGGAACTGGATCTAAATTAAGGTAAAGTTGGTAGAATCTCGGTTAAGGAAACGAAATCTTTTAAAACGTTAAACGTAACTATAATAATCACACTCATATTTATAAAATGCTAGCTGAAAATACATACACATTCCTACTGTTGTCTGACTGTCATTCCATACTCTAAGCGATGTTTCAAGTATGAACACTTAAAGTAAAATATCTCCCAAGCTAAATATTTATACATCGGTACAAGTTTTATTTAAAAAGTTTTAAAACACTCTTATTCTTACAACTTGAAAGTGTAAGAAATCTTTAAAAGATATACGAGTATTAAATATAGTGTGATCAACAATTCAGAAAAAATTATTTAATTTATTGAGAAAAATTTAGTAACAAATGATAGTGCATCAGCGTCTGCTGCCGGGGATGGCGACGCTTCCCGTACTACAAGGAGGATCGTCATAGAATCGCAAGCCGCCTACTGAACTGTACTCGCATCATGAACTGTGCACCCGGCAGCAGTGGCATCCCTGGTAGACGCAGCATAATTTTTATATCTTTTTGGAAATTCCACAATCAAAATTTAGAGAAATTTTACAAGCGAAATCTTTTGGGGAAGCTTTTTGGTTACATTTGTGTCGAAACGAAAGAAACGAAAAATATGTGGCAGGTCAAGCTAGGCAGCTGAGATTGGACTGTGCTTCGACATTTTCGACATTGATAAACATCCATATAAATTTTCGTCGATTAATATTTTGTTTGGTTAAGTTTAGATACCCATTTTTCAAGTTCAAGTTTTTCTTTTCTTTTTTTAACGGAAGTAGAGATCTAAATGAGGTTGAGCTTTAATTTTCGGTGGAGATTTACTTATGGGAGGAGAGTTGCTGCTCTGCCAGACCTGTGGCTGATTCACTCATCCAACGGCTTTCCAACACTATCTGACTGTTCTGGCTCTAATTACTTTCGGTGCAGACGGTGCTCTGTTCGCTAATTAGTCTGCACATGCTAAAGCAGGAAACCCACCGACAGCACGTGCGTTTTCTCACCTCACATCTTCGATCTTTCTTTTTTACAATAATTTTCCGAGACGTTGTCGTAAAATCGAAGACTTATCTGTATACGTTGTCCAGAGGCTACTTTTGCAGGATGTACCATCAATAATGTAAAACATTTTTTCCCCACAGCTAGTCACTGGCTGCGCATTTGCAGTGCCATTTGATGAGAAGAAGACCTGACGCCAGCTGGTCTGGCTGATGAATTAATGGAAATTCAATTCAGTGAACCGCAGACAACTGTTCCAAATTGCGCAAGCTGCTCATTTTGCAAATTGCGAGGAGGTATACCTGAAGGAGAACTTTATATCGGTGATACCCCAATGGCTGCTGAGCATCACGAGCCTCAAGTTTATCCATCTGGCGGGGAACAACCTGTCCATGGACATTCGATGATCGGAGTAACGGAGTGGAGCCATGGTGCTCAATATTTTCATGGGCTTGTTCGCGCCTTCGCTTCTGCTATCCATCTTCAGCTTCGATACGCCACTGAAGAAAGCACCAACTTCAGTCTGTCCATAACCTCGTCGGGCCACTATACTATAGTTCGGCCTGTATGTGCTGCAGCTGCAAAGGCTCACCGAAATGGAGTAGAGGGAGCAGAACAGCATCGATGCCATCGTCTGATGGCCAAAAAGTTGCGCCATTTATCACTTCCTGTACACTTCGTCCTCTTGAACTCAGTAGTTTCGTGTGTACCGTATTCAACTTTTGTACACTAGCTCGTCCGCTTTTTATTATGAAATACCCTCCAGACGCGTGGCTGCAGCAGTACTCCGAGAGCGTCTTGTTCCATCTCCTGTCGTGTTGGCTTCCGCAGAATTTGCTTGGCCGCCCTGTCCAGCCACTTCAGGTGTGTCCGTAAAGGTGGCTGGAAAGTCATACTAGAACCGTGTCATCGTCTTGATCACCAACAGCAACGGCGACGGAAAGACCGGCAAGAGCCGGGTTGTGCTCCGATCTTACGTGAGACCGTTCTTACGGGCTGACGGTCTGTGTGATCTTAGTTCCTCGGTTAGCCACAAACGTTTTCCATTTACATGGTGGCTTATTAAGCCAGGCACTCACGATGTTGGATTCTGTCGAATAAAAGCACTCGTAGCTAAGAACAATTCATCAGAATTCGCCTGCCACCGGATACCTAATGTCTTTGCTGAGCTAGAGTCCTCCATTTGAAGGAAATCGGTGCACAGTAAATAGTCCGTAGAAATTTCCTGAAGGCCTTGCACCGTATTACAAGTCCACGAAGTTCCCGCACTATTAATAACTGTGTTGGAGTTCTGTTTTGTGTGCACGCCAGCAAGCACATCGTCAACATACATGGAATCGGATTTGATGTCGCTTGCCTGTGGGTATATCTCCCGCACATCTTGAGCATGTTTCTTGACCGCGAATGGCTAAGAATGGGTCGCAATTTACACCGAAAGTGACAGTTGTAAGCTTATAAGCACAGAGCTCACCATCTTTATTACGCTTTATTTCGCTGGATCGAGGGTGATCTGCCTATACATCTTTGTGATGTCAGTATTAAAATGCTGTCCATTTTTAGACAGCATGATTGGGCAAATAGAAGTTGTCGGAATCATTGTTTGGAGTACATACATATGATGTATGATGGCAGAAGATTCGTCTGATTCCGTCTGTGAAGAAAATTTCTTTCAAACTATCCGTAATGAGTTAAGTGTTAACTGATCTCCATATTCAAAGCAATGGGTAAAAGATGATACACGAAATCTCGGCAAGGCGGTAGCTGGAGAGAAGGGAGAGACTTGGGCCCGTTACAGGTCTATTGTGATGCCGCGTGGTCTTAAGCTCCTTCTCTCTTCCTGACCAGTGGTGAACACTCACGAGTTTTGGCTTTTCGAGAAAACACACACTAAGTACCTGTCTAGGTAAAGTACCCACTCTTAGTCCTCCCTAAGCGGAATAGATACCTAAAAAGCCGTCGAGAGGTGATCACTCCGGGATCACTCTCGTCAGGATTACCGAGTGACTAAAAGAGGAGCTTGTTCGTCCCGAGCAGTGTAGCAAATGGACAGATTTAGAGAGGCCAAGAATCGGATTGTCATGCCCTTTTAACTAGGCATAAGTCAGTCTAAGCTCAAAGTTTATTCTAAACGGATACCAAATTCTTTCTAAAATAAAGTTTTCGAGGATTGTAAGAGAACTCTATGTCTACATTCCCAAATCCTGAATTACGCATAGCAAAAACGTAACAATACTTACACTCAAATTGTATACGAGCTTTAAAAATAGAATACACAACTTTTATCATTGACTCTTTTATTTAATTTGTGTTATAATAATAGTAATAGCATTAATGGCTTGAGTATACGGGACTTGATCGGAACATGTGTATCTTGTGTATGAAATTAGAGTATGATTAGACATACATATGCATGAATTATACATACATGCATATGTGCGTAGTTTCCGTTTTAGTGTGAAAGGAGTTCCGAGTGATGTACATATATATTTATATAATTTGTTGTAAGCCTTAAATATCATTAGGGCACTCTGATTTGTTTTATAATGTATGCATTTCATATTCTCCTAACATCAGTACATACGTATGTACTGTCATCTCTACGTATTCATATGCGCTATCTTGTATGTAAACCGATTTTTGTATAAGTATACTTCCGTTTCTTTGGATAATGATATACACAATACATACATGTACAGTTAGTTACACAATTTTATCTGAGTGTATTTAAACTGATTTGAGTTGACTTCCAAATGTACTAGTGTGTACGTATGTATATGTATATGCAAAGGTATGTTAAAAGGGACTTAAACTGCTGTTTCGGTGTGACTGTGGGATGATAAACGCTCGACATCGATTTCAGGTATAGTCAGCTCATCGGGTATATTGTCGGCATACTCAATGGAAGATGTTTCCGAAAGTCGTTTGCTCAGTGAAGTCTGCTTGCGCAGCACCTCTGCCAGCGACGTGTTGGTGTGTTCACCGTAACGGGCGTCAAGACCTTGCCGGAATGCGTTCACCACACGAATCTAAGTACAAATTAATAAAAAGAAAAGAACAACACCAATAACAGTGACAAGAGAGACGAAAACAACAGTATAAGAAGAACGGTTTCGATCAGTCAGACTAAAAATTATAATAATCGAATGCAAATGCATAAATTCTGTTTGCGTACATCGGTATGCACATACTAACATACGAGTATACATATGTACATAACAAAAAATAAAAAAAAATAAATAAACAGCATTATGTTTCAAATGTGTACATAGTATTGGCATACATCATACATACATTATGCAAATGGCGAGCTAATAGTGGAAGCACACTTACATAAGTAAAACCCAAGCAATCAGACGGACAAAGCAAAAGCGAAGGCATTCCATCACGACGTGTGTGTGCCATGGAACACACCCATTAGAATATCGTTGGCTGGTATTTAGCAGGAGAGTAGTTTACAGATAGTTGATTTGTTTGACCTCCCCAAGAAGAAGGGGTTTGATATTGCATTCACAGGTAGTATATTCAAAACTCATGCGAAACTACATGCAAATATGTGTATGGTATGTATGATTTTCAGCTAAATTCTTAAAGTGTGCAAGAGTGCTAGAAAAGAACACTTTTA